CACTTCCACAGTGGCTGGGCTGTTCCTGTCTATCCAGACATTGCTTCAGAACAGACACCATAAGGTCTTCACCACCCACATAAGAGCACATACATCCCTGCCAGGGCCCATGGCACAGGGGAATGCGGCTGCTGACACTGCCACTCGCCCGTTATGGATTTTTACCTTACTAACACCAATCGAGCGAGCCCGTGCCTTCCATGATAAATTTCATGTTAATGCCAAGACACTAGCAAACCATTTCCATGTTTCTAGAGCAGATGCACGAGATATCGTGCGACTATGTGACTCCTGTGCCACATACAAACCTGCCATACCGATGGGAATAAACCCTCGAGGTTTGATCCCTGGTGATGTTTGGCAGATGGACATCACACATATACAGGAGTTTGAGACTCTTAAATATGTTCATGTTTCCACAGACACCTGTTCTCACGTCATATTTACAACAGCAGAAACAGGTGAAAAAGTGTCTAATGTGATCAATCATTGCCTGGCGGCTTGGGCCGCATGGGGCAAACCAAAAATATTAAAAACTGATAATGGACCAGCCTATATAGGCAAAGCCTTCAATGAGTTCTGCAAAATGATGAGGTTCAATTAAAACATGGTATCCCATACAATCCCCAAGGTCAAGAAATCATTGAGAGGGCTCATAGAAGCCTCAAAAAAATTTTACAAAAACAAAAAGGGGGAGTAGGCCAAGGCCTGGCCCCAAAGGCACGATTATCCATGGCACTATTCACACACAATTTTTTAAATTTAAATAATGATAATCGCTCCCCAGCTGTGGAGCACTGCAACCCTTCCCCCAACCATAAAGGGTGGGTGAAGTGGAAAGATGTCCTGACAGGACAATGGATGGGCCCGGATCCAGTGGTCAGCTGGAACCGAGGCGCGGTTTGTGTTTTCCCACAGGAACCGGGACGAGAACCACTGTGGATACCGGAGAGACTGACACGGGCAACAAAGCCCTCGACTGAAGATCAGACCTGCCCTACTGGAGATCCATCACAGACCAACCAATAAGATGAATAGAAATAGCGGTAGCCCGAAATGGACAAGAAGATCCTCAGGCATATGCATGGCTTGCTCAATCGGCCCACGACCGAGTCTAGATATGGCGGGCATCCCTCATTCTCCTCCATAAGGTGACAATACACAGCAGGGTAGGTGAGTCAATGACGGGTAAGAGCGTGCCTCCCCAGCACGACTCGACCTAAGCCAGGCCCTACCCCATCCTGCACGTAAGCCGCTGGACTGTTAGATGCTGCCCAGGTCTAAATTTCTCTCCGAGGGGATTTTCTTTACGGAGAGGAAATGAGTGCAAGCTTGTGTGCATCCAGGTTCCGTCCAGTTTGTGCCTGGCCCTAGAAAAAGGACGAGGGCCTCAGGGCCTTGGCGGACCATGGGACGGCCGACCAGGGTCTAAGCCAAGGACCTACGGTGGGCCTACGCATAGGGCATAAGCCTCTGCACCCAGTCCAGAAAGGGCTACGATGCGCACATTCATAAAAAATAAAAAAGGGGGAGATGTTGGGAGCCACAGCCCCGAGCCCGGTCGCCTCACTTGGCGGACGTGAGGCCTGTAGTAAAGAGTGAAGCCTGAGGTAAATTGCCCCTCCCATCGAGCACGTTAGTTTCCTGCTTACCGCGTAAACAACCCGCTCAACAATATAGTCTGCCTGGCAACTGATGATGTTAGCCAATCAGCTTGCCTTGCTTACTTTAACATGATTGGACACTGTACCCGTATATATACCGGTGCCACCCCTGGGCGGAAGAAGAAGCCAGGTAGAAGCCCGGAAGTAGAAGCCCAGAAGGAGCCGCGGAGAGCGGACCGGTAGAGGCTTCGGAGCGAAGCCCGGAAGGAGCCGCGGGGAGCGGACCAGAGGAGGCTTCGGCTGGGAGCGATCCCAGGGCAGGCTGTACGGAGAAGGAAAATAAAAAAAAAAGGTTGTCCACTACCAGACTTTGTCGTGTGTCCTTCCTGCCGGCCGGGAGCGGACATCGACACAGGAGTATAAAAGGAGAATTAAAAAACCATTGAAAGATAACAAAGAAAAGACTTCAGAATCATAATCTGTATTGAAAACTAGCCTCTCGAAATATAATAGCAGAAGTATCGGTACTAACTTATGACATCATTTCAGACACACAACTGATTTAATCTTGCCAATCTTCTCCAAGAGGAAAACCCACCAGAGCAGTCGTTCACATCTCCTGGCTTATTAATGTCAGCAGTGGGCACTGGCCTTAATGAGAACATTTGAAGTGTTCAACATTCAAAGCACCTTTAGCAGGCTTTAAGGTCTAAAAGAACCACCCTTCTATTAGAAAATGCAATTTCTCAGCAGACATTTGTGAGCAGTGATTGGACCATGTTCTTCAAAGACTGATTCTACCAGCCTTTGGTCTCATCTGGAGGTTTCTGCAGAGACCTCATACAAATATTGCACATGTGCTGGTTGGCTCATGTCCCATTAACCTTGGTGGCATGAGACCAAAAGCATTTACCTCCACTCTTTGTGAATCACTGGTACAAGTCGCTGAGGTGGCTTTCTTTCATGTTTCATCCTCCTGCAATGAGCAAGCAGCCCAGGTTTCTATCTGCTAACATCACATTGGACAAAGAGAGTCACGTGGCCAAGGTTACACTCAAGATTTGCATAAAACCAAACTATGTTCCTAGGTGATCCATAACTTGAGTCAACAGAAATCTGCAACATGGTAGCTAGAATATATGCGGCTGGTTCTTTGGCTTCCTTTTGTACAACTCCTTTTCCTCCACCTAAGTTCTTGGCCAACACACAAGCCTTCAGCCTCACTACCTTCTCCAAGTTGCTAGAACACTTCAGGACGTTTCCTACCTCAGCACCGTGTTTTCTGCTCCCGAGGCCTGGGAAGCTGTTGTCAGTCTCTTCACATGGCTGACTTCTCTTGAAGCTTCAGCTCAGATGATGCCCCCTCTTAGTCTCTTGCTCTAGAATGTAGCTCTGTGCTTAGTTTTGGCACTATGTTATTCTCAATGCCTGACACACAGTAGGTGCTCAATAAATATTTATAGGGTGAAAGGGGTTCTCATTTTCTTAATATCTAATTCAGGAGTCTGGTAGAATACAGACACTGGTTTTGGTGTGAATGTTGTGAACATAGTTAGAAAGTGCCACACCAAACACAGTAAGAAAAATCCACGTAATTCTGGGTTAGTACTGGCATAGTTCTCGCACTCTAAGAAAGCCATAAATGCAGCTTAATGTCCAAGTGGTAGTCAAAGTCTGTGAAGGGGTAAAGGACAAAACCCATCCAAAGGAGAAATGATTGGCTAGTACTGCTTTAGAAGAAAATGGCAGCAAAAAATAGCACAGATCCAGACAAATGATCCACGTGGATTCTCACTGCTGGCAGGAAGCTGCGAGGGTACACTGTCTCTCCATGAAAGTCCTGCTGGTCGTGTTATTTAAGAATTCTTTTGTTGAGAACTTAATCCCCACATCATAGGTTGGTAGTATTGGGAGGTGGGGGCCCCTGGGAAGTAATTCAGTTTAGATGGGGTTATGAGAAGGGAGCCTCCAAGAGGGCATCACTGTCTTTGTAAGAGGAAGGAGGCCCATACACACACTCCTTTGCTCTCACCGTGGAATGTCTTCCACCACATTATGACACAGCGATTACCACCTGCCAGCACCTTGACGCTGGATTTCCCAGCTTCTGGAACTGTAAGAAATAAATTACCCAGACTCCAGTACGCTGTTACAGCAGCAAAGAGTGGACTAAGGGGTACTGGAGTGTGTCTGAAGCTGCGAGTACTCAGGAGACCTGGATTGGATGCACAACTTTATTCTCCTTGAACCCTGGAGCAGTAGGTTCTAGGTTAAGGGAGAGGAAGTCTCTGCTGGATGCCAGGTGACCATCCCAGGCTGGAAGATCCTGATAGGTGCCAGATGGACATATATGAGAAGATACCTCCCAATGTAGGCATGTATTCACTGCTTAGGGCTCCTAGAGGATCTGTCAAGGATTGATGATCCTAGAAAACCTCCTGGAAAGTTAAGGAGTGGAACAGAGCTTTCCTTACCTGTGAAACCAACAGAATTGTTTCTTACACATTGGGCTTGTACCCACACAGCAGCAGGAAGGTGAATTTCTTCTGTTATCCCAGCTTCTTTGCAGCTTATCTACTAACGCCAGCCACCTTCTCTCCGAATCTTACTTTCGTTGTTCAAAGAGACTGTAGTGGGCTGATCTAACCAGAGGTCACAGACCATTTGTGCTCCCCAGTTTTAGGCACTCCATAAATTGAGAAAAAAGAGAAAGTCCACAACCAGAAAAGATGGTCCCAATTAGGGTACAGTCAAGAAGGCAAAGAATATGTTTTAAAAATGCAGAACATTGCAATCACTGAGGACTAATTAAATTGTTTTACTAAGAGATAGATCTCCATAATAAGTACATTATAAAACCCAGGCACAATTTCTAGAAATGTACTGAAACAAAGTTATTTTTTAAAAAAAGAGTAGAATTTAAGGGATATGACATTATGCCAAGCAAATCCAAAGGTGAGGTGCTGGGGATGGGTGGACTGGGCATGAATGGCAACTGTAATATTAATTAAAATAAAAGTCAAGGGCTGACAATGTATCTTGGTGTTAAAGAGGTTGCCTAGCATGCGTGAGGCTATGGATTTGTACTGCATTGTTGAAGGGGGAAAAAGGTAATTCAAAGCCAGAAAGTATTAAGTAGATCAAAGAAGAAACATGCTGTTTTATATAGCTTTCCATTCCCTGGGATGCGATACTCAACACCCACATGTTAAAGGAGGTGGTAGTGGCTCACTGTTTCTATGGATTCAGTCCATGGTTGGCTTCAATGTGGAAATATGGTGGAAGGGTGTGGGGGGTAGAGATGCTTAATTCATGGTGGTGGCAAGCAAGGCAAGGGAATAGTGCCAGAGAGGAAGAGGCAAAGGACCAGATACAGTACCCAGTGTCACAACTCCATGACTCAACCAGACATAGCCTTTATTAATAAATGTCCTTTAGTAATCTCCTCAGTGGCCCCCAAGCCAACTGAGTTAACACTATTAAGCTTAACAACCACACATGCACACAGCATCAAGAAACAGTTTATCAGTGAAAAAGCTCTATAGAGGAGATAATAAATCTTACTGGAATAAAAAAATAAAGTAGCCAATATCCCAGAAATACAAGAAGAAATTAACAAAAACATTGATGGTGGGATAGTCTCAATCCTATTTCAAAATATGACAGTTCAAGTATACAATTGAGGCAAAGATACGAAAAATTTGAAAACACAGTAAGTTAAATTTTTTTCTCCTAGATTCATGGGACACACGGATAGACAATGTATTTTATTAACAGCATTAGAGAATAATGATACACTTCCCTAAGTGGATTTTATTTTACTTTACTTCATTGAAAGATAAATCAACAATAAAAAGATGTTGTTTTAATTATTGCCAAATTATGAAATCTACCCTCTAACTCCTGGTTCAAAACAGACATCAAAGTAGAAACCACAAGTACCCAAGAGGAAAGAAATAAAACATTATATCAAATGTATCAGAAACAGGTAATGCTGTATTCAGAGGTATATTTGTAGCCTTAAATATGTTACCATTTAAAAATAAAACGAAGTGAAACATATAAAGTCTTGAGTATCACAACATATTTGAATTAATTTGCACCTTATTTTTCCTGATTATTGACAAAATGAATAGATAGGCTCTTGTGTTCCATGAATCTTCAGGTTTTCTTCATCCAAACTATTTTCATTTCTTCTCTTTGTTGATATCACAGTGAGAACGGATAAAGCGCTCAAGTATTTGTCTGTCTGAAAATTATAAGAAAAGAGGAAAAACTTTCCATGGAAGTATTAAAATGCTAACTAGAAAAAATTCTAGGAAGGAGGCAAGTACCTGAGAGTAGCACTATATTCATGAATTTGATAAGAATTCAAAAGAATCAATAGATGCTATGTCTAATACCTAAAGAGGCATCGTTGTATAATTATTAAGAAGAGTAAACTCAAAATTAAAGGGATCTGCAGCCTTATGGGAAAGAATGTGGGTTTTAGTATGAAACACACCTAAGTTTCAGTTCTGACTGGCAAGATTGAAAGGGACCATTTAACTTCTCCCCTCCTCCATTTATTTCCTTGTGTGTGAACAGAGATCACAGTACCTTGCGCTGGCCCTGGAGCGGATTAAGAGCGCTATATATGAAAAACCTGCTCTGAGCCCAGCCCAGCAAACACACTCAATAAACAGGAGCCTCATCCATTATTAATTGGTGCCCAATAATAAATGTGGATGATGAACAATGGAGACTTGTTCCAAAGTTTTCACAGAATTCAGGTCTGTTTTCCAGCCCCCATCATTTTGAGGATAGATGCTTTGCAGACTTTTGCTGCCCTTGAGCACTTATCGGTCGACCCTGGGGGAGCTCTTCAGCTCCCTTCTCTCCATTTACTACTCTGTGAAATGAAGGCCTCTGCAGCAATTCTGAGCACTAATGAGTCCCTAATTTTAATAACATACATTGGAAAAAAGTAGAGTGGAGCTCCAAAACTTTGTTAATTCCCATCTGTGCAACCAAAAACTAAAGAGAACCTGCACAGACTTTTCATGAGACCAAAAATCACTTTGATTAGAACTTGTGACTTGTTCTGCTGTGTATTGGTCTCCTGTCTCAGACAATGAGTTCCTTGATAAAGTGGGTTTTTTTATTCACCTCATATATCTAGTAAGCATTATAGATATTCAATCAGTGAAGCTTGTTGAATAAGTAAATGAATGTATTCTTCATACTAAATCCGAGGCTAGAGAGAAATCTTTCCTGAATAGACATATTCCTCGGAATTCTGATTGGAGGAACAAAAAGAAAGGGCACTGCAACTGAGGAAATCCATAGAAACCAGATTTAGGATATTTATCTTAAGTGGGTAGATGCCACCAATGGGTAATGAATTCTAAGAGTAAGCTGGTGTGGTCTAAATCAGACTTGGGGGAAAAATAATTTTTTAAAATAGATTGACCACTAAAGACACATCATTTAATAACTCAAGTTATAAATAAATTGAATATATACGTCCCTATCTGAAATGCTTGGGACAAAATGAGTTTCACATTTTAACTTTTTTAGATTTTAGAATATTTTCAAAAACACAATGAAATATCTTGCAGATGGGACCCAAGTTTAAACATGAAATCCACTTACATTTCATATGCACCTTATTATACACAGACTGAAAGTAATCGTAGAAAATACTTTTAGTGTGCCTGCACTTTTAAAAAAAAAAAAAACTGCAACCCATCCTACGAAAGTCAGATGTGGAATTTTTGGTCTGTAATATGATGTCGATACTTCCAAATGTTCAGATTTCTGACTTTCAAATTCATTTGCACCAAATACTGGTAACTCACTGAGTTAATGGAAACAGGAAGTTCACCTTCAGCTGCTCTATCCTTTCTTCTTCCCCAGCCTTATTTATTTTCTGCCTTCTTGAAGTTTTCTCTGTCCCTGCTCAGCCTGCCCTCTTTCCACCCTGACTTAAACTATTACCTAAGGGGACAATCTTTCTTCCTCCTCCTCCTCCTCCTCCTCTTGATTCTCTTCTCCTCTTCCTCCCCTCTCCTCTCTTTTGGGTGCAATTATTTGCTTAGTAAGGTATAGTTATAGAATAACGAACATATAGACATGTCAATGCAAGTTACAATCAAATAGCAGCCTCGGCCTGTGCTCCTGCCGCCTGTCACATAAACACCCTGCTGAATTCCGTCAGCTTTGACTATCTGAGTCCAGCTGCTTTTCTTCTGATAATGTGCTGGGCCAATCCCACTATTCTCAGCTTATGTTTCCCTTAATTAAGAAAACCTATTGCTTCTAACTGGCTTCAAGGACTTTGGCCGGGGCAAATGAACCCAGTAAAAGATACCTTTTAACTCTGCTTGCTCCACTTAAACCTCTTCCTCTAGTCCCCAAGACGTTCCTAGGTTATGATAAACCATTCCTTTGAATTAAATCTATCTAGAATGATCTGATTGACAATGTAAGTAACTAATCATGTAATACTCTGCCATCTGTCTTGTACTTCCTGCTTGCAAGCTATATTTAATCTGAACCCAAAATTGCCTCAGGTGCTAGTGATTTGGACCTAGTCCTGCTAGCCCACTGGTGTTGTAATCAATAAACAAGTTGCTTTCTAGATTCGTTGGTGCAAAGAGTCTTCTATTTGGTTTGAAACTGGTTTCTCTGTAATATTTTCCCTTCTCTTGTTCCCCCTCTCCGTACTTCCCTTCTCTCCCCAAGATCCCTATCTGTCTCTGTCTCTGTCTCTCTTTCCATCTCTCTCTGAAAATGCTTCTGTTCTGGGCTCCTATTCAATTGGACCTACTACCTGTAAAGGAAGCAGCCAGTAAAATGATTTAAGCTGGGTTTTAATTCAGTCTTAGACATCTGCCAGGCATTTTATACTCTACCTACTGGCTTAACTCCACGACAAAAAAGTACTGTTGAGCTATCCACCAGCAGAAAAGCAGTTATGTCATCCCTGACAGTAGAAAACGACATGAGGTTTGGGACATACAGACTCAAAAGGAACCTCCCACTTGCCTGTTGGCTTCTGTCGTAGCTGGCATTGATGAGTGAGACATTCTAAAGCAGAGCTGGGAAAGAAAAGTTAAAACCCACAGGAAGGAGTTCCTCTCTTCCTTAGCCCAAGGTAGAACTGGCCACGAGCCTCTGGCTACCTGCCTCTAGTGCTACCCTCACGGTACCAGGATATAGAATACCCAGCAAGAAACAAAAGTTTGGCCCATCTTAATGTTACCTGGATAGCTAATAGGTCATATGTCACCTGTCTGGGCAGGAAAACCTGACTGCGTGGACAGATAGTGCTGGCTAGAAAGGTCATCTTACTGTAGGGATCTTGGAGGACATAGATGCCAAGTTGAGCAAAGGTTTCACAAATAGAGGCACTGCCAAGGCTCGGATAGCACAGGACACACAAACAAGATCCTGGCAGCTACCGTGGCAGGAGCACTGCCAGAGCAGTGACTGCACCTATCTATGGCCGGTCTCTGGGCAGATGGGAGCCTCTGCTTAGGGAAGACAGATATGCTCTTGCCAAATGGCCCTATAGATGTGCTCCTAGGGCTAAAATGAGTTCTGTAAAATGCAAAGGATGATTTTATAAATGTGCACCAAAGCTGGGGAAAGAAGAGGAAGGCGGCTGGGGCTTGTTACCAATTTTCCACTCTGCGTTTGGGGAAGATGGTACCAGCAGACTTCCTGAGCCCGCTGGTTTCCTTCTGAAGTGTCAAACTGGCCCAGAGGCATCTGCTGAGAGGAACGAGCCTCGCAGTAGAACATACATACTGTGTTTCTGCTTCAGTGTGAAGCAAAACATCTGCTTCCTCTACTTCCTTGCAAGCCAACATTCAAGAACTTTTAAGGGTGGAAATGCCTTTTCTTCCAACACACACACACACACACACACACACACACACACACACACACATACACACACCAATCTGAATTATTAAAGGCCTTCAGTCTTGTTTGGAGCAGGATATCCCAGAGGGGAAACGGCTTTCCATGAAAGGCTCAGAAGAGCCAGCACTGTGACTGGCTGGGGACCTCCGTGGTTGGGGCTCTGAGAGAGTCAGGTGGGAGAGTTGAAAGGATGCTGAGTACCTAGGGCAAGTCCTGAGTTTAAGCTTGACCCCATGACACAGAACAGACCACGACCCCACATTGCCTGTAGGCACAAAGTGGAGCACAGGAGATGACCTAGCAGGTGGAAGAAAAATGTTAGAACCTCTACTTATATTTGCTTTTGAATTCCTCTTTTAAGATGGTATGTTTCCGGGCTGGGGATTTAGCTCAGTGGCATAAATGCCTGTCTTGCAAGTGTGTAGTGGTGAATTCAATCCCCAGTACCGATTTAAAAAAAAAATCCTCTAGTTCCCACCTCCTCCTCCCACCCCTCTGCTAGCAAATGGGAGCCAGAGATCTGAACATCTCTTGGGAGGTTGACCATATACAATATAGCAAATAAGGGGGATTTTCTTCTCTTAAAGGCAAATATTTTTACCTGTTTTGCTTTATTCTGATTAATGATATGGCTCTATTCAATTTTCTGTTTTGACAAATTCTATAATGTTCTGTATTTTGTTTTATTTTGCAATACCTGATTGAATGAGCAACTATTGTGAAGATAACAAGATATACTGTGATATCTATTACTGTTTTTCTGGTAACCTGCTGTGAAGTTCTGTACCATTTTCACTACACTGTCTAAATTGGCTTTGTTCCATCTTGTTCTGTTATATTTTACTACCTTCAAGATAATAAAAAGTTTTAAAAAATGATATGTTTCCTATAGGGCATAATTTGCTGATATAATGTTATATAAGCACACTTCTGTGATATATATATATACTCAATGTGATATATATATTCAATGTGATATATCTATACTCAATGTGATATATGTACTCAATGTGATATATATATACTCAATGTGATATTTTATATATATATATATATATATATATATATATATATATATTCAAACGTGAAGCGTGACATGGTGTGTGATTCCCTGTGGAACCACTGAGATACAGTCACTGGTAGAGTTTTGTTTTCCCTTCAAACTCCTTTCTCCCCTAAATGAACATTTAACCTATTTGCAGTTAGACTGACCGATTTCCCCTGAGATAGTCCCAAATCTATCCCTGTCACTTAGCACCCAAATGGGATAAGTCTTTGCTATGCGAAGCGACACCATCCTGAGAATAACATCTGCTGTCTTTGCCACTGTGAAATGTGAGGGCTGTCGTGGACCTTAAACAATCTGTCACAAAAAGTCTCACCAAACAGGAAAAAGTAAATAAGACAAAACCATGGGATGGTACAATCACTCACTGGATAAGTAAATTAGCCATAGAAAACAGTAACTGATCCAAAGCAACTCAACCACTGGAAAAACGAGATCAGAAGTAGAGGAAAAGCTCTATGTCTTCTTTTTAATAAGTGGTTCAGCATCACTAGAGCCTCTTTAAAGACAAAAATTTTTCTTCAAAGGACTGAGGCTTTCACAGCACCCCGAGGCTTTTTGAAGCCATAATTTTCTTTTTGTGAGCATTTAACTCTAACCCCTCAAGACGGAAGCAATTGCTACTTGGCATAAAGCAGCATATGATGGCCTGTAAATGTGTGAGATGCCACCTTAAGACTTCATCTTACCTTTGTCGGAAACACTCTGAAGGTACTCATCGATTTGAGCAGGAGTAAAGGAGTTCAGGATCGTTAGGAAGTCCAGGTAGGCTTTCCCGTATTCACTTTGGTACATGGTCTGCTGCTTCGTCCGTTCTTGATTCCTCATGTAACTGTGCAGCACAGAGGGAACTGCAGAAATACACAGAGAAGGGGAGAGACACAGGCTGTGATCTGAGCAAGAACTCAGGCTCCTCTTTCTGAACCTGACACCCTTGGGCCCGACTTAAGCCTTACTCAGTATCCTTAATCATGCTGGAAACTAAAGCATGGTATTAATCTGACTCCTCCAATGACTAGAAGCCATGCCCAGCTGCTGAAACTTTCAGACTGTTGCTGCTAGAAGTGGAGAGATGGGGACAGTGGCCACAACATGGGGTTGGAACCCCATGTTCAGAGCAGAAGTTCTCCCCAAGCTCTCCTCAAATGCAGGACAGTGGATCAGGATGGTGACATTGCCACCTGCTTACTAGACAGCAGGCTTTAACAGCAGCTCTCTCTTTCAGGACATCTCCTGTGTAGAATTGGGTTGGTCCCCTAGAAACCTCCTCCTAGTGACCAGGAGGCTCAGGAGAAGCAGTTTGGAAGAACAGTGAGGTTTACAGCCAGTATTCCATTGTCCATTTAGATTGGTGAGGTAGGAGGTGTAGGCAAATCCATGTCAGATACATTTGATTATGAATATTGTTCATTGAATATGGATGCTGAGATCTGCGAGACTATCACTAAAACAATAAAGCCATAATAAAGAAACCAATTTCTATAACTAGTTCAATCTTTGTAACCCATAAGGAACTCCTTAACGCTTGCTTCCAGTTCCACATGCCCTTTTTAAAGGGTCATTGGCCACATGAAGGACCAGACTGTGAAAGGTTTTCATAGAATCACATATTTCTACCAGTTAGCTTTTCTGGGAAAAAGTAGAGTCAATGCCTAGAAGTTTAGCAAGAAATACTCCAGCCATTAGAACTCACGAATCATTGAAGTATTGATGATGAAGGAAGGAGCTGCCTTGGGGTTCAGGCCACTACCCTGAGGTGCAGAAGCACAGATGGCGAGGGTTGGAGGCCGTCCACAAGAGGCTTGAGTGCTCTAGACCAGCTGTGTTACCTTGTAACACAATCCCGATACTACCTGATACTACTCCCAGCTCTATGCCAGGAATAAATCAAGTCTCAGGGTGACACCAACTTGTGTTCTTGGAGAGAGTTTGCTTGTTCATGGAAGTTTTTCTTTGTTGAAAACATTAGAAACCAGGATCTTAAAAGAATGAATGTTAAATCTGAAAATGTTTGAGGCCATGTGACATAAGAATACAGTTCCAATGAATGAGCACCTCTAGTGTGATTTCTTCCCCATCTTTTCCTGTCATTTTCCAGCAACTGCATCCCTCCTTTCACTCTATAAGGTGGAAGCATCCCTAACCCCATCTGTTGCTCCTCCAGACAGACTCAGGCCACTAAGCAGTTCTCTGAGATCTGCTTCCCTGTACCAAGGCTTAAGGCTCAGAGTCACAGAAGTGAGGCTCCAAAGACACGTCTGAACAACTGCCCTTCCCATGACTACTGTCAAAACTGGATTCCAGGACCCTGCGGGTTGAGGAAAACTCTTGAAGCCAGGGGATCGTGAAATCCGGACAGAAAATGACACTTGCTCTATTTCCAAAACTTTTGTGCAAGATGTTTTTCAGGATATAGATACAGACCTTGGAGACCAGGCAGAACCAAATCACTCCTAAGCTGAACCTAAGGAGGAGAACTGAATCTTGTGGACCTCTGTCAGAAGCAAAGGCTGCTGCCAACTAACACAGGATGGACCAGAATAACTGCAAATCACACAGAATCTCAGCTTCTGTCAGGCCAGGTGTGCACAGCGAGCATTGTTTACTGGTTGTGGACAATGGACCCTTCAGCTCCCCTCACTCTGTGCCTTCCATTGATTCCTTTGCTACCTATGTGAGCATGGGGAGGCTGAGCTGAGCTGCCCCACCTCCTCGTTTGCTGACCTGTAGTGAAGTTTGCTTATGTACTTGGGGTTGGGCCAGGGCCTCACACTTTCTAGACGAATGTGATGCCACTGAACTACATCCCCAGCCCCTTTTGGTGAAAACCAAAGCCACAGGACTGGCCTTTGTGTATCAGGCAGTGAACCCTTGCTGGGTGGGTGTCAGCAGAATCTACCGAGTTGTTTAAAAGCTAGATGTAGACTTACCCAGACCCCGAGAAGGAATTCGCAGGCTTGAGTAGCATCCATATCGGAAAGTAAAGTCCTGCAACTCAGGAATTTTAACTGGAATTTGGTAATTCCGTCGAAATTCAGTGTCTAGAGGCCGGGGAAGGAACTTTTTCCACTCCAGGGACACCTGAGGACTTTTCTTATTCTTTTGTTCTAGGGCGAGAGTGGAAATAAAGGCAGGGATTACTACCGGCGAACTACTTCTGAGTAGTATTTCACCGTTTTACTTCTGGCAGTAGCTGCCAATGTATCACATGAAAATCGTGCTCCTGCTATGTAGTTATGACCAAGCACGTGAAGTATGTGCTCAAAGGATTATAAGCAGTTTCTAATCAATGTATTTGTCCATTGGCAGCATCCTTTTGTTCTACTTGATAGTTCAGAAGGAGCTGATCACTTCCCACCATATCTGCCTCATCCGTGCTGGGCAGAGTGACAGGGGAGTTATGGCAGGGGTTGTCCTATAAAACAAAAGATACCCGGTGAAATTTACATTGAAGATAAACAATGAGGAACTTTTAGCATAAGTATGCCTAAGTATTCATTTGCTACTAGGCAGCCTGTTTTTTAATTTGCAGCCCTAGATGGCATGATGTGTATCATCCCCATTACATGGAAAAGAATCATTCAAAGCTTATCTTTTACTGATGGAAGGCTAAGTGGCACCATTGTCATTAGAGAATAACAACATGATTATTTCTTTGAACTACCTCTGTTAAAAATATTCATTAAATGTGTCACCATTAAATATCTGTGAAGCACTAACCACCAGCTCTGCAAACACTGCCACATTACACAGAACATCATAAGCCATCTCACTTAGAATATGTTCACCCTAATCTTGCTGCAAAGCCTTAATTTGGACACCTACAGCAACATCTTATTCAGAAGGACAGAGGTTAAAAACATGGGTTTAATAAGCAACGTCCAAACAGTGCAAATTACTATTGACACGACTCAATTTTGTTCCAAATTGGTTTTTCAGTAGATCTTTTTCAAAAGCAAATTCTAACAGACATTATCTATCAAAAGATTCATAGAGGCATCTACTGGTATGTGTAGTATATCAAAGGATAGTTAATTGCATCTACCAGCACTGGAGAGCATTTTAATATTGATTTTTAAAAATGATCGGAATCAACCCACAGAGGAGGTGTGGGTTCCACCACATGCTGCCTGTTTCTTTGGATTACCTAGCAGATGCAAACCCTCATTGGCCTCAGAATGACCTCAGGAACTGCCCATATTTATTTTGTAAATTCTTTTGGCATTGTTCCTGATAACTTCCACTCCTAACTTGGTTTTTTTTCATTTACTAATAGTTTTATGTGAGAAAACCAAATTTCTGTTGGAAATGTAGGACACACATGTCTACCCTTCTCCCCTAGAGCAACCATTAAGTAACACATGTTTTTACTTCCTAGATGTATTCTGTGTTATTTGCCAACGTTATTGATAAATATGTCATTGTTCTGCCTTCAGACAACACCAAATGTCTATGGTTAGAAAGGCATTTGCAAAACAAAGAGCTAGCAATTGTGGTGAGACTGGCGATCACAGTCACCCTGGAAACTGGATCTCACAGGGAGTTGAGATGGCAGAACCACCTGGGAAGTTTCTACAGATATATATTTTGAACCTCATCTCAGATATTGAGGATCTTGAGAAGATCCCCAGGGTCGTATACCGTGAACAAACTTCCCGTGTGCTTAAGAATCGCTAAGAGCCCTAAACAAGGTGCTACTGAAGCCCAAAGAAGGTGAGGTTAGGGGAATAAGAGGAGGATAAGGACCACAGTGAATGCTGGATGTGCAGTGTGCCCAGGAAACGTGGCTTGTGGGCGATGGGGCACACAGGACAGGACGGAAGGAATAGCTGCCCAGGAGAGATGAATTGAGAATAGGCTGGTCAGAATGCCTTTCCATGTGGACCAGATGCATCTGCATAGAATTTGGATCACTGCAGATAAGGACACAGTGAGGACTTAAAAGTTCCCTCCTTTCCTATGAAGACAAAGAGTAAATCTTATTCTTCATTGATCTTCTGTACTTCCTGCAGAAATAGGCCTCATTAAATATTTACTGTTTACTAGCAAACAAAAACTAGAAATATAATTGCTATTGATTAGCAATTAATATCTTAACCACATTCTAGTTACTGCCTACGTGATGTATGCTTAAGGTAACTCTTAGTCAACTGTATGATGCTCATGCATAGTGCAGGCTTAATTTTTCTCACTGATGTATTTATAAAATTTTATGTTACTGAGCTCCTTGAGGCTTTACAACACCTGAGACTCCCATCCTGGTGCTGAAGTATGGAAGATAAGATAGCCACGATCCAGAGCTTAGCAGACCCAAGCCCTGGACTCTGCCCAGGTGTCACCCCCACTCAGTTCCCCTGGTTTCTTTCCCATTGAAATTGTGATACTGTATCAGTAGGTCAGGCTGAAAGATGAACTGACCCCTTTAAGATGAGAGAGGGCTCTACAGAAAAGCTCAGTCCAAAAGGACCATTTGAAACCACTAGGACCTTTAGAAACCACTGGGCACATGAACTATAGCAAAGAGGGAACTGATCCTACTGTTCTCACCAGTTGTTCTGTTTCATCGAAATCAAATTCTCCAAGCCTCAAAGTGAAAACCACCTTTTAGTGTTTCTCATTCATTCACTTTAATTCAATAATGAGGAAAAAAAGCTAAGATGTGGTCTCTCTTCTTCAAAAGCTTCAAGTATTAGAGAAACACACACAGATAAGATCGTTTCGATATTATTTGATACATTCTGCAAAAGGAGGTTAGAATTGGTGGGGTTACAAACCACATGGGAGAACCATCACACTGAAGTTTGGGATCAGAGAAGCCTAGATCAGAATGAAGTGATAGGCCAAAAGAGGAAACGGAGAGGTATTGTATACAGGAGGCGGCAAGGTGGGCAGGCAGGGGGACCACAGGTGGTGTGATGAGTCTACAGAATGGACAGGAGTGTAGTCTCTCTGGGCAGGTGGGGCAGGCAGGAGAGAAGGCTGGAGGCAGAGGCCAGATGATACCGATAATCCAGCTAAGACGCTTAGCTGTTATCCTGAGGACAACGGGAAATCTCTTAAGGATTTTAAGCTAAAAGTGACATAAATTCACACATCCAGAAACTCAGTATGGCTATAATGTGCATAGTGGATCACAGCAGACAAAACTAGGAGAGAGAGTTGAATTGGAGGTCACTCGAGGAAAGATATTGGTAGACTGGACCAAGGTAAGCGAGTGGGGAGAGATAGAAAGAGATAAAATTGAGAGCCTTAGGAAGAGGCTTGGCAGGTCCTAGGAATTCACTTGTACACAGAGAAATGGTGATTTGCTTATGCTGAATGGAGAACTTTGGATTAAAAACTCAAAGAAATATTTAAAGAATGCTGGCATTTCAAATGTTTTCTCATTATCCTTAATGCTTATCTGCAGGTAAAGAAGTCTTTTAATCCCATACCTTCACAGCTTTAAAGAGTATTTTCCATATATTCTATCATTCAACAAATATTCCCTGGGTTCTTTCTACTGGGCCCTGAGTGGATAAAAACCTTAGGGGAACTTATGGAACAGCAGAGAAAAGCATACAATAAAAACAACAAAGGAACACCATCCTAGATGCACGATGTGTGGCTCTCCAGATAAAATAGTAAGACAAGGCCTCCGGTGGAGGGTGACATTGGAACTGAAGTCCACAGGATACCAAGCACTGGGAGATACCTGGGGAGGAGCACTGCAGCTAAAAAGGGACATCGGGAAAAGGAGGGAAAGAAGTGGGCATCTTACAGGAGGCAAAATAAGACCCCGTAATGGCCGGAGCTTCACAAATGAAGAAGATAGCCTCAAGAGGTCACCAGGACCTATTTAACAAGAATTTAGGAAGCCACAGAAGGAGCTGAATTTGTATTTTATGCAAAGTGTCATTGAAAGCTGGCAAAAGAAAGTAATAGAATGATGTAATCCAAAGCCAGCATGGTAGCTCGCTCTTGCCTGCTGTCCTAGCCCTCTCCTCTCTGCCCTTGACTGGCTAATTTCTCTTCATGCTCCAGGATGGGGAAAGGCACCTGTTTCTGAGCTACCCTCTGCTACACATTAGGTTAAATACTCTTTTCTGTGCCCACAGCAACCTGAATTTGTTTCTACAATGTGCAGCTTTTCATACTTGAATGTTTTTGCTTGTGAAATTTCCTGTTTTGTGTCTAGACTGAGTTTCAAGGCAGAAGGGGCCACAAGCCGGCTTCTGGCTGCTTCAGCGGCAGTGCAAACCCATGACCAGGGGAAGGAGAAAAGCAAACCTGTTTACCTTTGGCTACGTCCACGAAGTCTCTCTTCGTACAGGAAATAAACTGATCTGCGATTGCCTTCTGAATTTCTTCCATGGAAGCAGGAATTTCCGAAGGGAGGCCACTTCTTGGTGTCATCATTGTGTACCCTTTAGGCAGTGTCCACTGAAATCTCTGTCATTGCAAATAAAGTTTTCAGGAGAATCTATACAAGTCACCTAATTAGGTAAGTGCCTTTGTGCATGTTCTTTGGAATCCTCTACATCTCACCAGGGCACTGCAGTTGCAGGTGTGTGAGGGAAGTTCGTGGATATTTCTTTGCCTAGCTGCAACACCAACACTGTTGCATAACTCTATTTTACACTCAGGACAGTGGGATTGAAAACTCCAAAGACTTGTGCTCCCAACCAGACTATTGCTAAAGACAAGATCAGAAGAGGAAAGAAATCAGGCTGTTCACACGTTCCAACCAGCAGAGACAGTGTCTACTTGGGAGCCCACAGGCGAAGGTCTCAGCGACATTATGAAGGGTAAGCACTCTCCGTCTCACGGCCAAATAGACTAAAGGATTATACAACTTGAGCCCTCTGCCTCCCTTTCCAGCTTTCCTTTCTCATGACCCGACTTCCTATCACCCTCAGAAATGGAAACCACTGGCAGAGACGTGCCCCCGCCCTCCTAATCCCCACCAAGCCGGCCCACCTTTCCTGGCATCTGCTGTGACAAGATCTGACCTAGATCTGACCTCTTCAGTCTGCTCCAGACATCACTCCAGCAATCTCACTCGTCTTGTGACTTTAATCTCTCTTTCTGCTGAGCTACTGCAATCAGCAAATTATTTCTCCTGTGTTGTAGAGAAAACCCCACTTCTGCTTCCTTCTCTGGTTACTAAGATGCTTCTTAGTTTCCCTTCACCCTGAACTCAGTACATATGTTCACTGCTCCAAATTTATCTTGCAAGCACCTTCTAATATTCAGGTTCTCTTCCAGCCCCGCTTTCCCCTTGTAACTTATTTGCTAAAGCAACCAAATGTGAACACAATGCGTGTGTTGAGGAAGCCCTTTGACATGTAGAAGTTTCTCAGTCAGGCTTCCGTTGATTGCATGCTCTTCGGACTATTGAACACGTCTCTGCTCACAGGACTCAGATTTAGGGCAGATCTCTTAGATAAACTGTAAGTGGTGTTTGGCAAGACCACAGGAGGCAGAAGTACGATGAAAATAGTAACGATGCCATTATTATTGTTTTTCTGTTTGATGGTAGCAGTTGCTGAGGTTTGACGCCCAGATTAATGGGGTCCTAGCACTCCTTGGCTGACCGCACAGAGGACAGTCTACTATACCATTTCTGACTGAGTACCTCAAATAGCATACAGAGGAAGGAAAACTGTAACCCATAAGTTATGTGATTAAAATATGTATTATGTCATAAGTAATGAAAATTTATTGGAGTAAAAGATACATTATCATAAATCCTCCTCAAAATTCACCCACATGCTTCAAATATATTTGTCTCATAACTTTTGCTACTTTCTCAAACAGTTCTGAAAGTCTTCTTTTGTGTCTTAACCAGATGTGATAAAAAAAAATGAAAGCTGTTACTTTCGTGATTGAGTAACACTGTGTGACTGTACTGTAGAACATTTATCTTCTGTTGGTGGATACTTGGGTTGACTCCACCCTTTGGCTATCGTGAATGCTGTTACTATCTAATCTAATAAAAATCTAATAAGAAGGCAGGGTTGTGCAGACATTTTGGTGGATCCTTATCCACTTCATTCACCAGATCTGGCCTCATGCAACTTTTGGTTCTTTCCCAAAATTGCAAAGTAAAGGTTTTGAATTGATTCAGGATAGTAAGGCAGCCACAACAGCTTAGTTGAAGACATTCATGAAAGAAGGTTTCCAGAGCTGCTTCAGAAAATGGTGGGAGCAATGGGCTAGGTGTGTGCAAGGCACTGGAGATATTTTGAGCATGAGGAATGGCAATACATCTTTTATTATGATACATTTTAAAAATATAAAATTTATAGATCGTACTGTGTACATATATGGTATGAAGTTTTTGACATAATTTTTATTTTAAGGAGAATATTTAAGAGGCATATAGATTTTAGTGAATGGGCGCCATGGGAACCAGTGGGCTGTGTGTAATTGTGCTGATGATTCCTAAGTCTACAAATAGCCCCTCTCCCACATGAGCTCCAGACCTGCATGTTCATGTGACTTGTAGACACGTCATACCAACATGCCATCACCTGAACTCATGTTGTCTCTGCCCTTTCCCGCCAGACCTGATCCGCTGCCATGTTCCGTCTTGGTAAGCAGCATGGGCATACACCCAGCCTCTCAGATGTGAGCACCATGATTCCCTCTTCTACATCTTTTCATCTTTAATTATATATTTTTCATTCTTCTACATGGTCCTCTATTGAATACGCTGAGGTGGCTCCATCTCAGGTGGCAGTCCAGTAAATGAAACCATTTACGACAGCCAGTCCCACACCACTCTTCTTGATGGGAGAACACAAATACTAACAATGTCCTCCATAGCAGCACCATTCACAATAGCCAAAGGGTGGAGTCAACCCAAGTATCCACCAACAGAAGATAAATGTTCTACAGTACAGTCACACAGTGTTACTCAATCATGAAAGGTACTGATCCTTGCTACCTCTTTGGGAACCTCAAAAACATTAAGTAAAAAATCCCTACACAAAAGTTACCTTCTTGAGTGATTTCCACATAGAAAATATCCATATAGAAAGCAGGTCATTGGTTACCCAGAGCCGTGGGATGGGGTGGGAATAATGGCTTAATGGTTATTGTGTTTCTTGGTGGGATAATTAAAGTATTTTGCAACAAGATAGAGATGGTGATTCCACAATATAATATACCAAATGGCAGTGGACACTTCACATTCAAAGGGTTAATTTTACATTATATGCATTTCATTTCAATTATAAAAAAACTTAAAAAAGAACTAGGGGATAGAAAAATGGTTAGAAAGAAATGGAAGACATTAGGTAGGAAACAGAAGATGAGTGCCCTTGTATCTCCTGACGATACAAGATGCAGAGATCTTGCAGCATGTTAAACGTCATTCGTATTAACCCATTCTTACGGGCTGCTGGTACAGCATTAAATCCTACAGACATACAGATATTATCTTACTTGAGTGGGATGCGATTCGTAGATCTTGATTCTTCTTGAAGCCTCATTTTCTATTGGCTTTTCTTTAGAATATGGTTTCCAAACATATTCATCATTGTAATGAGTCTGATTCAGAATAGGATCTCCAAGTGAGTATGTGTATCCTAATCTGTTGGTGCTCTTCTGACTGAAAATAAAAAATAAATTTGAAGAAAGTTTTAGGTGTCAGATCTCACAATGGTACATATACCAAAATGTTTTTATTTGCTAGATTTTTAAAAAAAATTGTCTGGCTTAAGGTGATGCCAGATATAATTATGTGTATAGACTTCCTTGATAAGAAAAATTTTTATAATTTAAGATGACTCTTAATAAAAACATGGGGCCTTAAAATAGTTTAGAAGAATGACAGTAAAAGTTTATTTTATTAATTTTTTTAAAGAGCTGGATATTCTGATCCATAGAATATTCTAACAATCAAAAAGTTGGGGAGAAGAGTCTCTTTTTCTGTCTTGCTACTATTTTCTTTTTGATTAGTATATATTTATGATACCTAATAATTACCTTCATCTTGGAACTTGCTCTTTTTAGACATATTACAGTTGATAAATGGAAGAAAAAACACTAATTAAAATATGAGTAGTTTGTCTGCCCCTAATGAAATGATTCATTTAGGCAAATAAAGAAGTTACAGTTCAAAAGGAGGGGCCACTGGGTAGTATGTGACTTTGGGGGGGCATAGGTAATACCACTTATTAAGTATTTCTTCAGAGTATCAAATTTGAGTCAGATGGAATCTTCAGAATTCAAGTTGCAGAAACTACATGAAAGGAGGAATTTTAAAATGACACCATGGGGATAAAATTGAAAAATCTAGAATGATGGTTCTTTTTGTTCCACAAAGAAATGGTCAGAAAGAAAGATGGGGATGGAAATCTATAAATTAAATGAGGAGGGAGACATAATAACCAAATGCAATGCGTGCACCTTATTTAGATTCCATTTGAAAATATGTTTTTATTATGAGAAAATTTGGAAAATTGGATGGCTGATTGGCTATTTGATATTAAGAACCTATTTTTTAAAAAAAGAAAAGTAATGGTATCTTTACTTATTTTTAAACTATCCTATCTTGCTACATGCAAACTATTTAGAATTGAAACGATAAATGTCTGGGATTTGATTCGACATATTCCAGTGGGAAGGATGGGTGGCAGTTAAAGAAAAAAAACACATCTATGTGTTGATTGTCTAGCAGGATTATAGCCAGGGATTCACTGATTATTCCTTTGTGTATATTTAAAATACTTCACAGTGACTTTTTAATGCAAAGGGCTGGGTAGTTTCAGACTGTGTTCAAAAGAACAAATATCTGGGAGGTCAGACATAGCTGGGCAATTGACTATTTCACTGTTATTCACATGTAAACTTTTTCAGAGGAAGACAGCAAAAATAGCTTTGAATAAATTTTCACATCTCAATTTCTCAATTGCTCCTTCCTGAACCATATTTGCTGAGAGCAAGCCTGTACATTTATTCAGATCCTTCCTTTCTTTCCCACAGTCTTCTCAGGACTTCCCTTCCCCATGTTACCATGTCTGGGGACCAGGCAATGAAAGTCAAGGGGGCGCTCGACCACCGAGTGGTAGTCCCCAGCAGTTTCTCCCTGAGTATTTAGTTGCCAAAGCTGGACTTGAGCTTGCAATCCCGCTGCTTCTGCCTCCCCTGTGACTGGGGTTACAGGTGTGTGCCACCATGGCCAGCTATCACAGGGTCTTCTCATGGTTCATTGCGGTGGGGCATTCACCTCAAACCCCAGTAAGGGAGCCCAAGAAAAGAAACTTGATCAAAGCAAGCTCGGGGAAACCTTGTCATTCAAGCTCCACGCATCGCCCAGGGATCTGTTTCTCCATGTCTGGGTGTTTCTGCAAAGTGAGAGATGGTGGCTGGGGTCATGTCAGGCTTTCCACCCCCTAACAATTACCGAATGTCCATCTGTCTTTAGGAAGAGGCCTCTCAGATGATGGCAGAGAATATGGTGTGCTTAAAATGGCCCTTTCTGTATATATTTTCAGCTTTAAAAAAATCCTTAAGCAGTGTCTTCAGCTGAATAGAAATGTGGGTGTGGGGAGAGGGAAGCAGTAAGAGCTTTAAATATAACCAGAATCGTTTCTGGGACACCGCACTTGGCAAGGTTGTTGGATAAAACTAGTAGATAAAAATCTGTGGGGCTTTTTTCAGATTCTGTATTCATCATTATTAAAGCATGTTTTAATCCTACTATGAAATATTTATTCCAATACAGCCAATTCTGATTATCAACAAAATATCTGACATAAAAAAGCAGAAGTAGCTTGCAATTTCATTATGCTGTAACTTTATCTTTTATTAAATGATGGATGTCTTAGGAAATTATTTCTTTTTTATATGTGATTGTTGTTTAATTATTTCCAAAAGTTAAGTGCAAGAGTTCTATTGACATGCAACACTATCTAGGGGCAAATCATATTTTTATCATACTTGCTTTACAGATAATTTAGACATCTCATAGCATTATTTTTATATGTACGTAATTGTATCAGACTTGAATCTTTTTACACTTCCCTTCTGTACTTCTAATAATCTTCCATAAAATAATCTAAATTTCAGTAGCTTTTATAATATTCTTTACAATATATACACTGACATTTCTTTGAACTGATAGTATAGATATTTTATTTTGATAGGATATTAAACTTATGAGATACGATCAAAATATACCATGAGTATTTAAATTTAAAAACTTCATCACACTAAACCGCACATTGTCATTAATTTCCCCTCAAAAGATGCCTTTCTTCAAACACACTTATCCTCCATTCTTGCCACTTTCTGAAGCAGCTCTGAAAGTCCTCTTTAGTGAGGTTTTTTTATGACGTGTGATTAAAAAAAAATACAGCAAGTGCTGCTGCCTACCGCCCCCGGCAGAAAGCCAGGCTTGTATACTCGCTAAGTGTCCTTCCTGATTCACTGGATCTGGCACTGTGTGACTTTTACCTCTTCCCCAAAGTCAAAGCGACCATAAAAGACTAAGTTCTGTGCAACTGAAGACATTAAAAAGGACTTCCAGCACTGCTTGAGAAAGCCACAAGAGCGATGAGATAAGGGAGCTCAAAGTACAGGGGGGTGTTTTGAGGGACACTGAGGACAATGTGTGTTTTGTTGTAATGAATTTTAGAAATTTTTAAACTTTCACTGTGGTTTTTGTCCACACTGTGTGTGCTCACTGGTTTGGCGGCAAGCACTCATTTTACCAACTAGACAAGCGTGACAAGGAAACCGTATGAGCTAACTTCATTTCTAAGATTTTGATAGAAATATATTTAAAATATGTGATGATAAAAACACTTTATCTAAAAATATTATATCCAAAACCTTTTATTAAAATTAATGTTACCACTTCCCAAGTCCTTTCTGAGTGTGTAATATTAAAGTTGCCTCCATGTGAACGTGTAATAGGTGTAATTTAATAGTCATTTGTTATTTGTTAAAATGTGCCTTTTTAATATTTCTCAGAAACTGACGTAGGAAATAATTCAGGAAATGGATGATAAATCATCTCATTTCTTGCTCTCAGTAAAACTGAAAGAGTGCCCTGCCGAGCAGGCAGCAGATCAGTCATTAATAATTACCTTGTAATTTCTGTCATAAAATTATGAAAGAGTTCGGAGTATGAAGGTTCAAAGATTTAGCTCAGCAGCACAGTGCCTGCCTGGCAAGTGTGAGGTCTGGGTTCAATTCCTCATTCCAAAAAAACGAGATCAGAGTATCAAATGATATTGCTACTCCAAAACTCCATTCACATCTCTCTCTCTCTCTCTCTCTCTCTGTGTGTGTGTATAAACTTAACATTAGCATCTATAAAGTAGGAAAAAAGCAAACAGATCGATTTACACATGACTAAAAATAGTAACATTCTAAAAATAGTAACATTCAACACTGGACCTGTGAACTAATTGAAAACAAAACAGCTCCACTTTATCTCATAAAGACATAGTTCCCCAAACTACTTTTTACTAAACAAGTATGAACATTGGTAATATATTTATTCTTTGAGCAACTGTGTACTAAAAATAGTTATGATAGCCCAATAATTAAGGTCACATAATGTATAAAAATTAAACAAAAATACTTGCAAAAAAGTATAATTGAGTGGACAACAAGTTGCTTTCAAATATAAAATATATGATAATGGGAAAATTCTACTGAGGAAATAGTGTGTGAAAGAGTTCAAGAAGAAAAAGTATTATAGAGTGCACTTGAGTATTTTTAAAAAAGCATTATATGAGTATTAATTTGCTAACACATTAGATCATCCATTGTTTACATAATTTTTAAATTTAAAAATTTTTCCTTTTAACATGTCAATATTTAGTTTGGGCTGAATGTTTTATCTTTTGCAGCTATTTAACTATTCATAGAAAACTTTTACGAGAACTTGGAAAATGCATGATATTGAAGGCCACCGTCTTAGACTTTCCAAGTTACTCTGTGTTTTTTCGTTTTCCTCTCAAATTTTCCATTGCATACAACTGCCACTGCCTGTGAATGCCACATTTTCATTACAGCCCAATGATGACACCTCCAGTTTAGAAACTACAGCTCAGCAGATAGCTGGAACACAGAAACCAGGAGTCTTAATATTGTGGAGTTTTGAAAATCTATCATATTAGTTATAGTGGGAGTCAATGAATGAAAATTACTGAATAACTTAGAGATAATCAGGGTACTAGTGTTCTGATTATTCCTCAGGAGACCCTCCTCAAGCGGGGATCACTCTCATTTCTAATAACAATAAAACTGCAGATGGCTTGTTGCTTGCTTGCCTACTGGAGCAGAAATAACAGGGTAGCCAAGGACTTACCAGTCACCCATTTGCCTGCTCACTCACATGAGCATTTTTTTTTTTTTTTTGGTACCTAGGATGGAGCTCATGACCTCACACTTGCCAGGCAGACGCTTGTGCCACTGAGCTAAATGCCTGGCCCACTGACATGAACTTTTAAGAAAAGATTGTCTTTATGGGAAACAGTTCAGACTAAACCAGGCTACACGCTGTCCAGGCTGACTGCATGAATTTCAGTGAAACAGTGAAAGAAACCAGACTCTACTGACCTCCTCCTGAACTCAGAAAGGCAACTGATGGACAGAAATACTCTATGCCTTCTGCTGCAAACTGGCAAAGCTGCAAGCCAACATCCTGCAACTACAGGAGTGGAGATAAGCATAAGGAATTGTGGTTTCTCCAGCCTTCAAATCCAGTTTTAGTGATGAATGACACAGAAAGTATGCACTCATCCACTCATTTATCCAATAATCACTGCCTGTTGCTGCATATTAGGGTGGGAATTCAGCCCAGTTATGATGCTGGGATCGCACAGTCCTATTAACATAGCCACCGAGTCTATGGTAAACCACAATATTCAGTAACCTTATGGAAGACCAGTGTGGTGATCTTTTTGGTTTTCTTGGTGGTCCAGCTGCTGTTTGAGAGGAGAAACTTTCTTAAAACTTGGAAGGGAATTGCATGTGCAGTTCCCTAGCAGTGTATTTTAAAAGCTTTCCCCAGTTGCTCTATTTGATTTCTGTTCTGAATAATAAAAGACAAGTGAACAAACTGAAGTGAGTGTACAAATGTGACTTCAGTAGGGAATCTACCGGATCAAGGCTGGCACTGCTCCTGTCTTGTATGTGAATGCCGTCTTCGTTGTGGTAGCATACGAATCCCAGTTGGTGTTACCTGCTAAAAGGACAATAAAGCATTTTTAAATGCACCAAACAAGAACATTTCAATCAAATGTTAGATTTAATTAGGTAATTAAAATTAAAGTTATTTTATAAGAGAAACAAACATTTTTGATTTAGAAGCTAACCAATCATAGGGCCTGATAGTTATGGTTTAGATCTAAACCACCCCTGAAAAGTCTCGCATTCAGGGATAGGGCCTAGTTGGAAGGTAACATTAGGGGCATGACTTGGAAGGGTATGTTCTTAGACAGTTTTCCTCTACCATGTATTTTGCTGTGCTTTGGAGTCAGCCAAAAACAGCTGAACTTGTGACCCAAAATAAAACTGTCCTCCTTTAAGTTTCGGGTGTCTGATACTTGGTCTCAGTGATGAAAACATGATTAGTATAGACAATTGGTGTCAGGAGTGGGGTCATTGCTATGACTGTACTGGACTATGCAACTCAGAAGCCTTTGGAACTGGTTTGCACTGAAAAGACTGGCATTGAAAAAGATTAACATTAAAATGAAGCCAAGTACTTTGAAAAGAAAGATGTCTTGAGGACATCTCAGAAGTTGTTAGACTTATAGTCCAAAACAGCATAGCTTTTGTTTGAAAAGAGAGTTCCTGGGACATCTGATCATTCAAGGTTGACAAGGAAGTACATCTCTAGGTCAGCTCTCCAGGGTCTCAGAGACCACTGTAGCACTTTCCAAGAGCCCAGCTCTTGCTCAAGTGGACAGGTGACCTCTGTATCATCCACATAGTGCCTGTATTTTAAGCATGCAGAATGCAAGAGTAATGAGATTATGCGGCTTCCACCTAGATTTCAGAAGAGTACTTAAAAAGCCAGGCAAAAAACTGTAACAGGGTCACAATTGCTGCCAGGATCCAAGACAGGGCAATGTGTGCATTTGTGAAAGTAAAGCCAAAGGTACAAAGGAGACCCCGGGAAGTTAGAGATGCTAGAAACATGGAATGTCTGCTGAGGAGAAGTGCAGGGGAAGAGCAAATCCAGACCAAAGAGAGGCCATGTGAGTCACAACTGTAAGGCCATAAGGCTGGGGCTACCTGTGCCCTCTGAAGCTCATGTCTCACCACAACCTTCCTTGAATGCTGGACATTCAACCACAAGATTCAGTGTTTACCTTGCTGAATTTTTATCTGACTTTCGTCCATTCCTTTCTATCTTCCTATTTCTCCCTTTTGCAGAGGGAATGTTTACCTGGTGTTATTGTATAGTGCAAGTGATTCACTTTCTTTTTGATTTTTAGAGGGTCTCGTAGCTAAAAGTTTTTCTTGAGTCTCAGAAGATTTGGAACTGGACTATTCTGCAATGCTGGAATTACTCAGACTTTGGTGACTCTTAGAGACGGGCTAAATGAATTTTGCATAATGAGATGAGCACAAGACTTTTGGAGGCCTGGAGAAGAATGCAATGGTCTAGATCTAGAATGTCTCCCAAAAGTTCCATATTCAGAGGACCCCTGGAGAAGGTCACTGGGGGTGTGGTTTGGAAGGATGTTATTTCTGACCCCACTTCTCATTTGTCTTTCAGTTTCCTGGCCACCACGCAGTAAAAGTTTTCTTCCACCACGCTGATTTGCTTTGTTACTTCTGTCTTGGATCTCGCTAACCAAGAATCTGCTAAAATCTGCTAAAACTATGAACCAAAATTAACCTTTAGCTTTCAGTTGCAGGGATTGGGTATTTTGTCCCAGTGATGGAAAAATGACTAATACACCAAGTAATGACCTCACTAGGAAAGAAAGGGAACTCAGTTATGCATGTTTGCCCAAAATAAAAACAGGTTTATTAGTTTTACTGAATATTTATATATGCTCTTTTAAAGGATTCAAGCCTTACACAAAAGAATGTAATTTGTTTGAAATTCCATCTTCAGTATCCACTTTGCATTTTAATGACCAAACTGCATCCCATTAGTGCCTTGCCTGCTTCTTCCTCTCCTGCTGACTGGCCCTGTCGTCCCTGTGCCTTCCCCACGCTGTCCCATGTAAGCAGTCTTGCCTGTTCTTTCCGTACTGGCATATACACAGATGTAATCATAAGCAGGTTTACGTGTACATAATAAATACAATATACATATTGAGGTTTAGTTCTTGCTATTATATTTTATAAAAATAAGCTCATGTTACACAAACTCTCCCTTGTATCTGCCACTAACAGTGTCTTATGAAAAACCTTCCAACTTAGCTGGTGTCGTACTAATTCACCCTTTGTAAAGACTGCAAAATTCAGAAATGTCAACATCAGTGAGAGTTGTGAGAGAAGATGATATCATCAAGGGAGGGAAGTTAGAAGCCATAGAATTTCTCTGCTTCAACCCATTTGCCACCTCTGGTGTTAACAAAGTACCACCAAATTCCTTGAAAAATGCCAATATTATGCCTTTATCCATAGTTTCACTTTCCAAAGTCTCAGATACATAGAGTCAACCCTGGTCAAGAAAATGTGAAATAAAAAATTCCAGTTCATAAATTTGAACTGTAAACTATTCTGAGCACGATTCCATCTCATGCTGTCCAGCTCTCTTCTCCCAAGATATGAATTATCCCTTCATCCAGGATATCCGGGCTGTATATACTACCCACCCATTAGTCACACAGTAGACATCTCACAGTATCATAGTGCTGGTCTATGGGGTCGTACTACCCACGGCTCTAGGCAACCACTGGAACTCTCAGAACATGTCCTTTACGGAGTGGGGAAGGGGGCACTTTATGTTTTAAATTTAAAATTTAATCATTCTTTCATTTTTCATATCTGGGCATTTACTGTTGCCTTTTGCATTTCATAAGAAGCTGAAAGTAAATGTCTCTGTCTTAACTAAATGGCCCTATCTAGGATCTATCATCGCATCTCTAGAATATTGAAGCTACCTTATGACCTGAGTTTGTTCCAGTCCATTTATCCTATTAAAACTGCTGTGAAGAATCTTTGACAATTTCCCAATATTTTAAAAAGTTAAATCTTCATTTAGCATATGGTGCCCTAGCCCAACACAATTTCTGTCGTCTGTGAATGACTTTATGTTCATTGCCCTTTCTCTGTCAGTCAGGCCTTGTTTTTAATTTAGCAGCCCCTCGGCTCCAGGCAGGCAGCTGTATCTGCTCATCTGTGACCATTCGCCAGTATCTTCACATGGCTCAACATCCACCAGGTCCAACCAGAAGTGTCCCCAGCTACAGAACAGAGGCCTGGCCCCCTGTGAATGCCACTCTGTGCTTTGCTCCCATGGCACCCTAATGCCTCCTCACAATGGCATTACCTTTTGAGATTTCTGTTTTGGTGGAATCACTTTAAGCTTGAAAGCCTTTTATTTCTATAGCAGAATAAGATGTCTTTGGCAAAAGAATTTCAGGTGTGGACAAGTGGGAAGAAACTGAGGTGTGCCTCTCAGAAATAAGCCTTCTTTAATCTCCCAGAGGCTTCTAGGTGGACTTGTAGATTAAGAAGTATCTTCAATATAGAGTCCACACATCCGTCTACTGTCCTTTTCCTATTGCAAACAGCACTAACCTAGCGGAAGCCAATTTCCTGTTAGACCCCGATGCATTTCCAAAGTCCTGGAGAAACAGTTCCTTGGGCAGCATTTTCAATCAACCACATGGACAAACATGACACATCTTGGTGTCCCTGGATGGATCTTTCCTTTGCTGATGACAGGCTGGGGTGGGCATCTGGCAGGATGGATTGCTAAATTTCTGTTTTAGGGGTGCATAGGAACAGGAGAAGTGTGTCTGGCTGCCTCCAGGTCCTACAGCCAAGTAAATCTCCCTCTTCCTGTGTTAGCTAAGCACAGATCAGACAGCCTTTCCCACACCCTCAGCCTAGCCTGCTTGTCTGTGACTTGGTTTCCAGGACATCTTCCCTTAATTTCAAGTTTAATCCTTTTTTCTTCCTATAGTTCTTTGGGTCAGGCATGTATTTTCATGAGTTTGAACCCCACTGACAAAGCTTTTGAAAATTATGTTATTGGAATCAATCCTCTTCGTTAACAGAAACGTTCCTTTAAAAATCTATAAACACAATATCTTAAACCTGTCCCCAAAGTGTGCCTTCTGCCTGTCTTTGCTTTCTTCTACTTTTCTTGGTGGTGGAATATGTTGGTGTGTTTGTTGATAGCTGTGCTTCCCTCTTCCACAATCTGTCTTCTTAGATGCTTCTTCTTCTTCTCATTCTTTGCTGCTTCTACAAATAAGCCCCGAGCCCTTCCATGGACCGAGGCCCATGTTCAGGACGTGATGTGGAGTCCTGTCCAGACCTTGGAGGATACTCAAGTTATTGGAGAGTCTATAGATCCTGTGAGCACAGCTATGAAACTGTGCTGAGGTCCTCTGTGTCAGAGAGACCCCGAGGGATACATAACTCGTTCTTCTTGGATGAGAAGGGAGTAAAGCTAGAGCAACTATGGGTGGCATCTGAGCTGGGGTTTAATTTTGTAGGAGAAAATTATGGGCAATCATGGAGTAGAAAACCATAGGAGATCATGGAGCAGAACACTCCCCAGGGGAAGCAGCAGGGAGTATGAGAGTCTGACACCTGGGAAATGGCCCAGTGCAAGTGAGGGCAGGGAGAAATGGGTGAGGACATGTTGCTGGGGCCATGTGTCTTCTACTTCCTAAAGCCTTATTCTGCCAGTCTTAGTGAGCCACTGGATGGATCCAGCATGATAAAAACACATTATAAAGATCTGAAAATACCAAAACTAGTAATTAGCATGTACACTGTATTATACTTTTCAAAGTATTTCTACACATAGTATTTTCTTTTATTTTCAAAACAACCTGAGAGATAAGGCTGGTATTTGTGGCATCTAATAATTCTAATTTTACAATAATTTGGAGATGAAAGAAACTGGTGGGTCCACAGTACATATAGTATGATGAATGATGCCCCTAAAGATACGATCATGTCCTAAACCCTAAACCCTGTAAATCTGACTTTATTTGGAAAAGGAGGCTTTGTACATGAAATTAAGAATCTCAAAATGAAGTGGTGGTCCTGGATTGGCCTCAGTGATCTCAGTGATCAGATTGTGATTACAGATGCCCTTGTAAGAAAGAGGTGGGAATATCTGGCAAAAACAAGAGAGAAAAAGGGTGTGTAACTTCAAAGGCAGGGGCGGAAGTGAGGCAGCTACAAGTCAAGAATGTAAGGATCCTACCTACAGCTGCTGGGGCAGGAGTAGCCCTGACCACACCTTGAATGTGGCCCGCCAGCCCTCAGACCGGCCAGTGGATAAGTCGTTGCTGTGTTAAGCCATCAGCTTTGGCTGCTTTTATGCAGCAGCCACGGGACACGAATTCAGCACCTCAGAGCCCAGGCTACAGTCACTATTCAATAGCAATCAGGTGGGATGGTCATCAACCACTGTCTTAGTCACTTTCCCATCTCTAGGACAAGGTATCCGACACAATTAGAGGAATAAGGTTTATTTCAGAGTGTTCAGTCCATGGCAAGCTGGATCCAAGGGAGAAATGGCAGAATGAAAGGGCAAATGGAGGAAGACTATGCAATCCATGGCAGCTAGCAGAGAGAGAGAGAGAGAGAGAGAGAGAGAGAGAGAGAGAGAGGCAAGAACAACCTTCCAGGTCATATCTACCATGACACACTGCCTCCACCTGGACCCTACCTCCTAATTAGCACGTTCAGTTAAAAACTCAATGGTTTAATCCACCAATGAGTATATCGCCCCGTTATCCAGTTACCTTCTGAAAGTGCCACTTCTCAACACATGAGACTTTTATGGGGACGCTTTTGATCTAAATCATAACAATCACTCATCCTATTTTGGAAGTGACACACTAGCTTTGCCTTTGGAGGGCGACTCTCTTAGCAGGAATAGCACAGACTATCAGAGACCCATGAGAGGAGATGAGTCAAACACACAGAGAAAGGAGAGCGCGGCACCCCAATCACAGAGACCTGGTGATCGAGTTGTGGTACCCAGGAAGCTGCCTTCTCTCCTAGTTTCAGCAGGTGGGACTCTCTGAATGGGATTTCCAAAGTCTGGAAGGTCTGAGAAAGGCGGAAATGTAACTTTGCACGTATTGAGTTGAAAGCCCTCTTATGACCTTGGAATAAAACTGTCTGGTAGGCAGCTGAATATTTTCACCTGCAAACTCAGAAATAGAAAGTAAAGACTCACTGGCACCTTTGAGCACCTAAAGCCTGGTGGCGGGCTGTGGTTACTCATGTGGAGGATACAAACTCAGGAGAGCATCTTGGAGGACTCTGACATTTCCCAGATAAAAAGAAGGGAACACTGTGGAAAAAAGGTCAGAAACAGAAGGAGAAACGTCAAACAGGCATCCTCAGGAAACCTAGGGTGGGGTTTCTTCCTTTTGTCTCTTTCTGCATTGACTTCACTCGGAAACTGAGTATATTTGCTATTTTCTGCACGAATTAAGTATTTTAATATTTCATTCTTAAGTTACAAAGGCATGAATGGAAATAAAAATACGTATTTCATTCATGCTGGTAGGAGCACAATTTTAGGAAATTTGCAGTTGAACAATTCCTTACTGCTCTGCAGACAGCATGGAGCCCAATTACCCAGCTAGGCAGCAGCCGCGGGCCATTATTGCCAAGCGAAAGGTCGAGATGAAGCTGACCACACAGTAATTGTGCCACCAGCCTCACAGCTAGAGTGGCACTCCCTCCGCAGACACAAAAGGCTGAGTTAGTAAACCTGCCGCATCGGTAAGCAGAGCCAGGCACGCAAGCTCTCCCCTGGGCACTAAAACTCTGAAAGAAAAAATGAGCTTCCAGGTTAGAAGCTGCAGCTGAAGGTGGAGGGCCCTGCCTCTGCTGCAGCCGGGTGAGGCCGCCTCCACCACTCGGGGTACCCCGGCTTTGCAGTTTCTCAGACCCTCTAGGGGGATGGGGATTCAAGACCACGCTGTTTTCTTCCCAGCTTTTCCCAGCTGCCCCATCTCTGTTCCTTTTTTTTGCTTTGGGCCTGTTCTTGGAAACGCTCCAGGTGCTTATTTTCCCTGTCTCCTCCCAGCAAGCCTTTCCTGGAGTGTTTAAAGGAGCATGAGGGTGGGGGAGCATGGGTTTTATGGAGGGGGCGTGGCAGCAAGCATTAGGGCAGGAACAGGGCAAATCCTCAAACACCTTGTCATTCATATCCACAGAGGAAGGCGACACCCTAAGGCCTGAAGCACTTGCCCCACCCTCAAGATCCAGTCCCCCCCAGCGGTCAGGCCAGGCCCCAGTCTTACTTGTCTGGAGCGTGCCACCGCATTGAGGCGGGTACGGAGCCTTGGGCCCAGGCTGGGCCGCCATCCTGCCTGGAAGAGGCAGTCGCGAGCCACCGTTCGGGCACGAGCTTGCTCAGCAGGCGGCCTCTCTGTGACGCGTCGCCATGGAGACGCGGGTCAGTTTCTCTGCAGCTCTGCAGAGGCCTGAGGTACGCATGGCTTAACCAAGACGGTGCTTGGACACAGTGGGTAAGAAACTAGGCGTGTTATCTCAACGTGGGGACACGTCGTCTTCGTGTATTTTTGCAGCTCTTGAAGTGAGCTTTTCTGACCATTGTCTTCATATACAGGAAGAGGAGCAAAATAAGGAGAGAACTGAACAGAAAATGCATCAGACTTTGCCCTGCAACTTTTCACCCTGTTCCTAACTTACAGGTTAAGCAAATGTAGCAAAGTTGTCACGGATCTTTGCAGTAAATAGGATGCAAATGAGACTACCAAAATCGCATTTGATAGGGTATGAAGAGAATTCCAAGAGGGGTCTATGTGATGGCTCCATGCTAACAAATGGGGGGGGGGGAAGGGGTGTCATCCTATTAGTCAGCTTCACATTACTGCAAGAAAATACCAGAGATATGCTACTTACAGTGAGGCTGATATATAATGAGTTTGGGTGGTTCAAAGTCCAAAGGCTTAGAACAGACTTTGCAAGGGCTGCTGGGCGGCAAAGACACCAGTGAGTGTCACACTTGGGGCTGGAGAAGAGGGAGAAGGAGAGAGAAAAGAGGGAGTAGAGAGAAAGAAAGGCCTAGTGATCTCTCTGGAGGACATCACTAAGGACCCAAGAGCCTCCCACGCTACCTTCTAAAGGCCTGTAGCCTCTCTCAGTAGCTTCGCCTAAAGGCCAAGCCTTTCACGCATGGACCTTGGGGACACTATCCATATCCAAACAATCGCAATCTGATCTAAAAAATTAGGAGTCAGAAAGTGGAAAGCATCCTTAGAGACAGGAGGGAAATAGATGTTCTTGTCGCTGTTCTCCTTACTAGGCCACGCTCCTGGCACCAACCTGAGCACTTTGTGACTATCTAATTCTGAACCCCTATCCCACCATGGATGTTACGGTTCATTTACAGATGTCCTCCCAAAGCAGAAGTGCTCACAGACAGGGCTCACAGAAGGGCTCACGGAAGGTGATTGGGTTATGGGAGCATTAGAGCTTGCTTGGTTTGGGAGGTAAGGGCTGGTGGAAGGGTGGTCACTGGGGGTGTGACCTGGTTAGGAGTCTCTCCCTTCCTGATCCCTCCCTTCTCTGTCTGCTTCCAGGGAACTGGGAGGTGAGCAAACGTTCCTCTGCTATGCCCTTCTGACATCCTTCCTGCCTTGGAACCAGCAGACTTTGAGCCAAAATAAACCTCTCCTTTGTAAATTTGCAGGTGGCAAGGACTGTTTCAGTGATAAGAAAATGACTGAGTCAGTGTTCTCCCCCCATGTGAGTTAGAGTTTACACTGGACAAGGAGGGTCTTTATCTTCATACTGTTGACAACTACCTGGTAATTTGACAGAGTATGTGCTTAGTAACTCAGGGATGGCTCCAGCTTAGGATACAACTGTCACCTATTCCTGTGAAATGAAGTCAAAAGAAAGTACACGTCCTAGACTGCTGACAACATGTTTGGAGAGCAATTTGCAATGCTTCCTTCTCTTAAAAGTGGCTGTACAAGGTAGTACAACAAAGAGTTTATCAGGGAAGCAGAATAGGAATCCAAGTACATATCCCACATATACATGCAGGGAGTATCTTCAAAACTTAAAGCTAAACTACAAATTTCTGACAGGAGAGTCCACATGATCAAATGAATAAAACACATTTTAGACTCCCAAGTTTTAAGGCAATGAATGGTGGAACACATTAGAAGGCTCAGACTTCTGTCGATGTTATTAAAAGGAATGAATCTAAATTAGAATTTAGTAGTGGCATCTAAATTAGGAAAGTAGCACTCAATAACAGATTAACTGTCTGGAAATGGTAGAGCTAATTAGCATAGCATAATTTAAAATAAATATATTTTTGAAATAGAGCAGCAAGCATATAGAATTTTAAAAGTGAATTCTTATTAATAGCTTACATTTATCTCCTGTTAGGCAAGCTGAAATGCTGGAGTATGCCTTGAATGGAATGCAAGTCAGATCTCTTTGTGGCTTTCCCCCTGAGGGCCCTGAGGGTACAACAGATACTTCCGTGAGCCTCAGTCTTCTTACCTGGAAAATGTGTGTGCTGGTACCCACCTCACTGAGCTGCAGAGATGATAATCTTAACAATAATTTACTAATGGTAAGCCACACACATCTATCCCTCTATGGCTGATTACCATTTTGTTTTTCATTCTTTTTATAAGCTTTCTAGCTCTGCTTCAGAATGTAGTTTTGGTGGGGATCTATGTTGCTGTGAGCAGCAGACACGATTCCAACCTTGAGATTTTGGTTGGCTGTGGTGACCACTTTAAATGATTAAGTGTATTTTTTACTTTTTCTTTTTTCCCTTGACAAACAATAACTTTATGTTAAATCTGAGCTGTAGGAGACAGTAAATGCAAAGCTTTGGGTATAATAGGAACTTGGGGACAGCATCTTAGAAGAAGGGTCCTGAAAGGATGCATGAGTCACCTGGGTGAGGAGTGAAAGGTAACATAAAGGCAGAGCTAAGGTCCAGGTAATAGGGACATCCCGAAGACCCTAAGGAGTGAGGATGTACTGTTGCTATGTGAGTGGGAACCAAAGCTGGCAGGACGGCAAGGCCAGTAGGCTGAAAAGTTGGGCTCCTCCTGACCTTTGGAGTATTCACCAAATGGGCCACAGCAGTGGAGTTAAGGTGCCAGCTCACAGAATTTAAGTAAATCCTAATCTCTGTTCCTGCAGGACAAAAAGTCAAATTCTGTGTTATCCTAAATGAATCACACAAAAAATCATCTAAGTTACTAGTATGTTTTTAAACAATGCTTTGCTTTGGTCTGAAATAGTTGAGAATAGTTTACTGAATACGTTAAAATTAATTGGCTGTTTTCTGTTCAAATTATTATTATATCTTTCTGCACACCACACAAACAATAATGGGATGGGTGACACCCTTTGGTGGTAAGGGTAAGGAGACAAGAAATGTGGATCATGCAAATATTGTCTGCCAAAAAGAATGTGTCAAGCTCCAGGCTCACAGAGAAGGTCAGGGAAAGAAAGTTGCTCAAAACAAAAGAAGTAAACACATTCATAAGCCAAGGATAAGGAAGGAGCAGGGCAAGAGAGCTTTAAACTACAGGAGAGAGAAAAGGAAGGACCCCTAGGCTGGAGAGGTCCGATGTACTAGAGAGCTGCCTCCCAGTCTGAAGGAGACACCTGTGCCTAGCACCTGTGAGAACACAAACTCATATGCAGTAACAGAGGTGTCTGAGTTACTATTCTCTTTGCTCAGACAAAATACCCCAAATGCTCAAGTTAAAGGAGAAAAGACTGGGAGATATGGACTGAAGAAGCAGCTCTAGAATTCCTTCAATTGTACTTGATGTCTTCTTCTCAGAAGACCAGAATGCTGATAGATATACTGCTGGTAAGGACCAGGCTCAGGAGATTGCTCCTGGGAAGACTACATTGGCTGTTGGGCCCCAGACAGTGTGTATTATGGGTTGGCAGAAAATTTGCCTGGGTTTTGTTTTCAGAGACTTTGCCTGAGACTGGGGTTAAAAGCAGTGGACTGATTAATCATGCAGAAGAAATGGTCTAATGTTAAGCTGACAGCATGGCTACTGTTGGAGAACTTTTAGCCATATCTATTTTGAGAATCAAGGGCAAAGAGCCCAGAAGAATATTTAAAATGTTGAAAGTTTGGTCAGAAAGGAAGCTCCAGTAAAGCTGGGCTGCAAAGATATAGCAGAGCAGAACATGGTTGTTGAGAAGGAACAGAACAATGGAAAAATGGCCTGAGGACTTCACAAGAAATGGAACTCTAGGATTTATGGAAAAGTGAATGAATTTGCATTGAGAAGAGAGCCCCAGAGCATCACGTTCTAGAATTGTGACAGCCTAGAAAATTTGTTCCTCAGAATTGGGTTCAGAGTACTCAGTCATCCAGGTACTCAACCCCTACAGCCACAAAAGAAAGAAGTCTGGCTCCTGCATCAGCAGGCAGCAGATTTGGTGTTACCCATTTGGTACTTGTTTTAGGGGCATGCAGAATGAAAGTACTGTGGGTTCAGAAAGGCTTCCACCAAGATTTCAGAAAGCTTGGGAGGCCAGGCAGCGTGTGTCCCTGAGAGGATAGTGCATGAAGTTATGAGTACAAAGCCCAAGATGCACAGGAAGTACCAGAAGTTTGGAAAATCCTGGAGCATGGATTGTCTGAGGAAAAACTCAAAGGAGAGAGCAGAGAATCCACAGGAGCTACAACCACCAGAAGTGCCATAGGACTGGAGTCATTAAAGTCTTTTGGAATTCACAACATGTTACAGATTGCCTCAGATGCTACACAAAGAACTACAGAACTTAATGTTTGCCCTGCTGGATTTTTGACCTCCTTTGGCCCCATTCTTTTTTATTCCCATTTGTACCTTTTGGAATGGTGGTGTTTATCTTGTGCCTTGAGGGAATGTTATGGTTTAGACCTAGATAGCCCCCAAAAGCCTCATGTGGTCATAGGTGGGCTTTTGGGGGATGGTGTGTGATGCTGAAATCAAGGATATGATACCAGTATTGATTCATGGTATGGTGCTAAGATAAAAGCTGCCCCACCCTGGGTGTCAGTGCTACCTGCTCTAAGGCTGAGTAGTCTGTATATTATATATAAGACAGAAAGAGGGTCATTGTTTGTTGCTTGCTGCCTTTTGTCTGCAGTGAACTGTTTCTCCTCTGCAATCTCCTCTCTGATGTCGTTCTGCTTTAGAGTCAGCCCACAATGAACTGAAACTTCTGAACTGTGAACCAAACAAAGCTTTCCTCTTTTAATTTTGAGCATCAGGTATTTTGTCTCAGCAACAAAAATAAGCAACTAAGATACATGTAACGAGACTCCAGGTGACTCACAGTGTTGGAGATGGACAGACCTAGGGCCCTGATAGCACAGTTTGAGCATCACTGGGAAGGGAAAGGTTATAACAGATACAGCCTGTCAGACCTCACCTACAGCTCCTGAATCAGAACTGCACAAAGACTTCTGAAAGATTCCAGGGCACAGCGAGTTTGAGAAACATTGTTCTCAGTAGTACCAGGTGCAAGGTCATTTTCTTAATGAAAATGAGGATAATAAGAGCTGATGAGAGAATCAAAGGGCAAACCCATGAATGGTGTTTAAAAAAACCAACAAGTGACTGCTTCCAGAGGATGTCAAAAATACAACGATATGCAGATGTTCTGAGTGCAGATATGAGTGAAGATGCTCTGGTTTGATTATGTTTGAGCAAAAGAGTTTGTATCATTATGTAGCATATAATGTTTTCCTTCAAGTGTCCTCACGCTACAAAACAGAATATTCTTCTCCCCTTCTCTTGCTTTCTCACTGACTGATCAGTTGCTGGGATGGACTCTCCAGAGAAGTAGAAACAATAGGAAATTATCTATTTAACTCCTAGGTAGCATGTCTCATCTATCCAGAGATTTGTTTTGAGCAATCATCACCCAGTTGTGGAGGCTGGCAAGTCCAAAATCTATAGGGCAACCTAAGACTGGAGAATGGAAGAGCTGATGTCGCAGTTCAATTCCAATGGCCATCTCTTGGCAGAATTCTCCTTGCTCAGGAAAGGTCTTTTGTTCTATTCGGGCCCTCAACTGATCAGATGACGTCCACCCACATTAGAGAGGGCAACCTGCTTTACTCAAAGTTTACCAATTTAAATGTTAATCTCATCTAAAAGCAGCTTTCCAGAAACATTCAGAATAATGCCTGGCCAAACATTTGGGCAGTGTGGTTCAGCCAAGTTGACATGTAAAATTACAGACTGAGATTTTCCTGAGGTCATCTGGATCATTGCTGCAATCAAGAGGTGTTATGGACAAGTAGTTGCAGAATAATTACTGTCCTACTATTGAAAATTCCAGGATAAGCTCTATACTCTCTGTTTTATTGGGACAGTCCAATTTAAGTGGGATAAGACCTAACTTCTGCTCACTAAACTCATTCACTTATTGCATCCAAATAAAAACCATAGGAGCAAGCTCAGGCTATTGATTCCATCAAAATGTTATTAATCCCCTTTACATGTGACCTCCTTCCTACAATCCTGCTCTTCTGGTTTCTTGTCTTTTTCTCTTCTCTGAACTGTTAAGGAGGGAGCCAGCTATTGGGTAATTACCAGCGCCTTCTATTGTTAGTTCTGCTTTCAGGTCTATTCAAGTCATGAATATCACAAGTGAACACTCATTTTAAATCTGTTTTATCAGCGCTTGCCCACCCAAATGAATGTTCTCTTCTTCAAAGTAATTCATTTTAATGATGCTGCCATTGCTTCAAGCATTTGTCAGATTCTTCAGAAACTCTCTTCAGAAACTGATGCACACAGTCTTTTGAATTTCTTCAGTAAGAACATAACTTTGCTCTTTGAAGATTGATTGGCTATTTAAAACATTAAGAATACATTCCAGCTGATAATCAAGGTAGGTGACAGTTTGGGTAATGTTGTCTTTCAGCCAAAATCAAATTATGACCATCAGGCAATGATAAAAATAACTTCCTCATTTTGTAGTTTCTGTACTTGCATTCCTATTGGAATTAATTAATAACCCCCAAGGTCACTGACAACTTGTGGAAATCAATCACCTGGATAAACCAATAGTTACCTATTTGCTTTAAGTCTAAAATTTATAGTTAATTTCATTTTATTGTCAAAACTGGATCACAGATATACTTGATATTTTTCTTTTTGAAACTTGTATTTGGGGTGTCGGGGATTCATTCCAAGCCCTTGCACATGCTAAGTACCTGGTCTCTCACTGAGCCACACTCCCAGCTCCCTCTTGTCTTAACAAGAGTGAAAGCAAGGGTCATGTTTAACATTATATGCTAGCACCCACCTTCGTGCATAGCACATGCTAGGCACTTAAACATAAGTACTGAATGATGAATGAAAGAACTAAATGGACAGATTGGTTACATCACTGGGGGTCTCAGTCAACTTTCAGTTACTATAACAGAGCACCTGAGGTTGGAAAATTTCTAAAGAAAAGAGGTTTATGTTGGTTCTAAAGTCAAAAAGTATGGGGTCAGCATCTTCCAGGTTCTGCTGAGGGGCACCTTCCTGCTGGTGGGGACTCTGCAGGGTACTGAGAGAGTAAAGGATGTTATATGATGAAACAGAGCAAGTTGTATGCTTGGGCCTCTTTTCCTCTACTTATAAAGTCACTAATGCAATCACCAGGGCTCTATAACCTCATCTAATTTTAATTATCCCCCAAAGAACCATTTCCAAATACAATTAACTTTGACTTTGGGGATTAAGTTTCAAAATCGGTCTTGGTTGGGACAAGCCATCTGCAAACCATACTGCTGTTCTACAGATTTTTATCGAACTTAAACTCTTAAAATAGCCACATTGGGCCATATACGTGTCCAGATGGAGGCTTCTTTTATCCAGGAACATCTGTCCTACATTTCATCAATTTATAGATTTTTAAATCTCACTTCATTATATTTGCAAATAAAATACTCTAGCACAGGGTATAATTTCCTTATAAGTAGTTGGTAAACCTTTGTTGAGTGAAAATGCATTTGATTCAGAATCAACCAGAAAAATGTTTTACTGTTGATAGACATCTCACAGACCTTTAGTCCATTTCCAGAGAATTGCTAATAATTGCTCAATTCAAATCTTCTTTGTCAATTATGGGATAGTCTCCATTTCTTTTGAAAAGCATCCAGTATTTCATATCCATCAAAGGTTTGTTTGTACTTGTATAAAATTTGTTTTATTATTCTACTCTATTTTTTTTACTGAACTTAATAGTTAATGCTTATCCTATTTTGTTATAAAGTAACATTTTTCTTCTGTTCTTTGAAATATCAGAGTCAAATTTTTCTCCGAGTACTTCACAGTTCTATTCTTCAAAAGGCTCTTCTTAAGGAGATAGCTGTGGAAATCACACTTTTACTGAATTATTAAGTTATAAAGTATATACCAGCAGCAAATCATAAAGAAATAATCGCACACATCCACAGTCACAAACTCAATTTCAGGTTGAATGCTAAGAAAATTTTAATTGTGCAAATATACTCCATAAAATTTCAAATATAAATGGCAGTACCATCAGTAATGCTATCAAAATGTATAATATAGGAATGCTTTTTAAAAAGGATATAAAAATGATACTTGGGAGCCATAAATCTTATTATGAGCATATGTAGTGGTTCATTCATGCAAGTTTTTATATGGCTATGTGCTTTTTCTTTTTGTAGCTGAGATGAAAAATGTGCTGATGTAACATTGTATTATGACAATATATAGCTTTCTTGTATTTTTGTTTTCATGTTAGAGTGACTAAAAGCTTATTTTAAATGCCCAGCTGCCACAGTGTGCTTTCAGGAAGGTGCATGCTACCCTGTACTTCATCACCTGGCCTCATTCTGCCCAGGAGGTCAATGTATGTCACATTTTAGGCAAAGAACAACAGGGATACCATGAGCTACCTGGTCCATCCTCCAGCAAACTTAACCCTAAAGTTTCTCATATGATTTCATAGAGACATCACAGGACACATATTTGCCTCCTCATGAAAACTGATGCAGGCTTTCTGCTCAGCAGCTTTAAAGAAAAGAGCACTGTGAACCCCATACTTTCTGGCTTTGGGCATTATCAAGGATGTTCTGAGCAGAGGCCAGACTCTGATTCAGAAAATACCACAGGTGACGCTTGATCCAGCTACCAAATTGGACAGCTCCGTGGCAGCTGCCAGGAAAACAACTATGGCACTAGGGTACGTTCAGGGTTGCAGGACCAGGCAGCCCTTCCACACTGGTAATGGTGACCTTAAAGGAAGCCCTGTACCTGGGCCTGCCAGGACACGATGCCAACAGAGAGAAGCTAGGAACCCTCTGCAGAAGGCAGGGGGAGCTGAGGTGCCAAGGGGGTAGGAGTGCCCGCCTCCACCTCCTCTCATCTCTCAGTTGGAGTAGGGGAGTGACTCCAGGAGTGGTTAGTCCAATCAGACAAACTGGCTGGGTGTCTCTTCGGATTCCAGGACACTTGGGAATGGCAATTCTGACAAAAGAGGCTCTGACAGAGACGATCTGGGAGACAGGTTGCAGTTAAAAACATCATCTATTGAACCTGAAAAACAGTAAATAAAGCAATTATTATTGCTATCACTGCCAAAAAGAAGAAAAAGAAAAAAGAGTGCTTTTAAAACCTGTATAACATAACCATTCAGTAATTAATGGAGAATCCTGGCCTCTTCAGAAAAACTCCAAAGTCTAAACCAAAATGTGTTGCTTCTTGCTTATCAGCAGGACAGGACTGTCACTTTGCTTTCTACAAGCTAGAAATTTGCCCTGAGTTGCATATATTCTTTCTTACTTGATGGCAAAAGACCCACATATGGCAAATAGATGCTCAGGACAGAGGGCAGGTTTTGAAGGGCCTGGAGCTGGGTTGGCATCTCTGGAGGCCCTAAGCTCAGCCTGGGGCTGGGCCCGCCTGCCAGCATAGCAGGTCCCTCCGGGCTCTGCCATCTGTAGTGCATGTGGAAATTCCAGGAAGGTCCTGCCAACCCACTGTCTGGAGCTGAAGGGATCCTGGGACTGGCTCCCAGGGAAGCTCTGCCAACTTCCCATGTGCCTTGGTGTCCCCAAAATGGTGGACAGCCTAGACAGGGAGCAAGCCACAGTGAAACAGGAAAATGTCCCAGGCGTCTATGGTCTGTAGTGGGCTAAGGATGCCACTGAGGGACAGGGCAAATGTCACACTGCAACAGCAGGGAGGGTCATCACCCTGAAAGAACTGAGTATAATCCCCCAGGTAACTGCAGTACAGCGAGAGCACAGATGCATCTCTGAGAGAAGCTCCCAGCCAGAGGATGCTGATGCAGCATGGAGAGAGGCAGACACATAGGCAGACATGGGTGGAAGATGGAGAGAGAGGAACACAGATAGAATACATGGAGAGACAGAGAGATTCAAAGACAGAGATGGAAAGGCATGGACAGAAAAGGGGATGGAGGGAAGGAGAGAGGGAGGGGAAAGGGAGTGACCACTTCCAGCAGAAAGACAGTGATAACTTCCTGCAGAAAAGCCAGCTGAGAGTAAACATTTCTGCTACAAACACTGGAAGAAAACAACTGCCATTAAATACAAATAGCAAAGACTGTAGCTTCCATCTGCACTTTAAGGGCACTGCAGGTTCATGGGGACTGGAAGTTTTCTGTAAAGAACAAGAGTCCTGATTCAAGGAAGCTGCTCTCTGATCCAGACAAGGCTGTGACAGAGAATGGACTCCACAAAAGACACATCCACACAAGACACGATCCGTGCCATCTGCCTGAGCCACATGGATACCAAAATTGAGAGTCCACCATATGTCAGCCACAGTTTGCTAAATGACACCTTCTCAAGAGTGTCTCTTTTGTGGTCTTACAAAATATTGAGAACCCATCCACCAACTGTTAAAGATAGGTGTCACGATCCTGTAGACTTCTTCTCCAACTGACAGTATTAGGGGTATTCTGTTGTCCAAAATACGCACACAAGAAAAGCAGCATTATTTTATAGTATTTAAGTGAACATCAAAATTCACTTAAATTAATAATCTTTAAGGTTATTTTCAGGGTGTGCTGCACAATACAATTGCTGTAACAGGAAACTTGAAAGAGAAAAACCTCTCTCTCTCTCTCTCTCTCTCTCTCTCTCTGCCCCAGACAGGTCTTAGTAAGACAAGGTCTTACTATGTTTCCCAGGCTACTGGTCTGGAATTCCTGGTCTCAAGTGGTCTTCCCACTTTATGCACCAAGTACCTGGTTTCTCTTTTTGTTAACAGACATTTCTCAATTCTTTCTGAATTATGTGGTGTAGCTCTCTTTTATCACCAGATCCTGCCTCTTGCATTCTCAATTGAGTTTCTCCCCCCATCATATTTTCCACTTTGATTAAACTATCTGTCACAAGCCCTTGAGAATTTTTCACACACCTCTGGAAGTTACACTGAATTTTCGGTCAGAGAAACTGCTCCTTCGAGTGAAAGGTTCGCTCATTTTTTCCAGAAATAACTTAATTGTCTCTTTCTTTTCTGGACTTGTACTTGACAAATTCAGAACTTTTCCGTTCACTTTCACAGTGGAATTGCTGAGCCCAAACCAATAGAAGAAATCAAATAAGGCATCAGCTTTGAATTCATACACAAAGCTCAGATTTTCTCCGTTAATTATTTCGGTTCCTGGAGGGAAGAAATTCTTCACTACTTCTTGAAAATCAAACTGAAAGACAAAAACCAAAAACCATTTAATTGACTTTGCAACCAGAACTATTATGTTGAGATTATAGAATTTAAAAATGTCCAAAACATTATACTTACTTCTTTTTTACTTTTTTAAGGCTTATTTTTATAATTTAAAAGCCAGATCTTTGCTTTTGCATTTTATTCCATTTAAAACTTTGAACTACTTAGACAAAATCGCACTCACTGGTACCTCATTCCTAAAACATTACTAGAAATTTGGTCTACTTTACTGACAGTAGTTATGACACAGTAGAGAAGGAAATGTCTGAATTTAAAACAATTCTCCTTTACCCATGGTTTTGTTTTCTCACTTCCCTGTGGTCTGGAAATATAACATGGAAAACTGCAGAAAGAAATAACCTGTAAGTTTTGAACAATTTCTTTTGTTCTATTTTACTATCGGTTATTATTCATCTCTCTACATAAAACTCTGCCATAGGTATGTACACATAGGAAAAACATTGCGTATCTACATCGGGTTTGGTAGCATGCGTGGTTCCAGGCATGTGTGTGACATATTAGGGGCCGACCGCAGTGAAGCACAGGTTTCAGGGACACAGTCTTGGCAGGTGGGTGGCATCCTGGACGCAGCCTGGGGGTCGGTGCTTACCTGCAGCCGGTAACTTTCTCCGATCACTGAGGAGATGACCATGTCCATCCCCTGCTCTATCTGTCTTCTTATCTTTGGGTGCCTTGTGTTCACAAGAAATGCGTACGTCTTTTCTAGAAGTTAGCAAACAGAATTCAGAAAGAAGTGTGTATATGTGACATAAACACAGTCCTCAGGATTTACTAATCTGGGTTCTCTCAAACCCTTACTGTAACATGTAAGTTGATTTCTAGAAACATTTCCGAGAGTTTTTGCAAGTTTGCAGGCAGCTCTGGGCTACTGTAAAAGCAGGTTAGCAAATCAGCTCCCTTGAGGCTATAGTTTGTCACCTGTGCCTCAGAAATCAAAAGTCCCACTCTATAATTGTCACAGATCAGAACTCAGCTGCACAGCAGAATCCTGCATGCTGAAGGAAAACCAACATGGCTGATTTTCAGGTCCGGCCTTGCTGGGTATTTAAATCACAGCTTTTCTCCCACGGCTATTTCCTCATTTGCAAAGCAGAAAACCAGCAAAGTGTAAAGAAAAGGGCTCTGCTGTGCCTTCCACTACCCCTCTCCACTCCCAGCCTCACCAGGACCTGGCATTCTTTCTGCCAGGGGGACAGTCTGGGGTTCAAAAGATCAAGGCAACCTAGATTGATTTTCTTCCCTGTTCCTGCCCCTAACATATTCCCAAGGAAGGAAAAAAAAATGTCTTTCCCATTGTTCAAATTCTGCCATGTCTCTATCCTAGAAGACACTGGGTTATTTTTTCCATTGTTGGTAGTGCTGTATTATGCTGTGTTGGGCCGTAACCCTTTAAGTGTGGTTTTTGTCCAGTTATGCATCATCTGAGCAGAGGGAAGGTCGCCCACTCATTGGAAAATCTGAAATATTTTGTTCACTAGCAGCCTCAACTTTTCCAACCCCTAGGGTCAAGCACTTCTTCAGGGAGACAGAGAGATATCCCGGTTACTCTCCGTGTAAAACTACTGACCAGCCATTACGTAATTTTGAGAACTCAGCAATCTGATTTGGCTTTGGCATATCTCAGAGGGCCACCAATAACAAATACTCACATTTTGAAGGAATGAAATTTGAACCAACTTCACTCATCTTATTTTTCCTTGAGATATAAACTACCTGATATTTTCTTTGAGACAAGTAATAAAATAAAGCATACAAGTGATTTGGTACCTTGAATTAAATTTCACACAAACCAGACCAAGGCTTCAAGCTGCTTATACACTCAGGGCCACTATGGTTCACAGTTGTGCTAGCTGGGGAGGTTGTCACTGCACAGCTCTGGAGAACGCCACTCATGTTTACAAACACATCTGTGTGAATACTGATCATGATAAGCTCCTGGGAAGCATTAGCAACTGTCCTGAGGAAGTGGAGGTTTTTCTAACTTGCATAAAAGTGCAATTTAAAATAGTATTGGGGCTGTCACGCTGCCTTTATCATAATTTTCACAACCTCATCTGACTATCTTAAGTTTCTATATTTCAAAAAGTCTCTATTTTAGACCTTTTCTTAAAATTAACCAGTAATGTTTTTCGATTCCTCCTTGCACGTAGTTCTCCCTACTGGCCAGGCAGAAACATCCTTCTGTACCACCCCCAGCACTTTCACCGAAATGTTAACTTGGGCAAGGCCCTTCCTGTTGCCCCAGACTTGTCTCAGAAGTCAGCGTAGGAGGTGTTCCTCATAGAGCTGTGAATCACATTCCCAGCGCTCTGGTCTTCAGCAAGCTGAGCCACATGTGGGGCTCAGCTGGTCTAACAAGAACTACTTAGAGCACTGTGTTCTGCCGTGGCCTCTCCTGCAGAGAGCACGCTGACTTTGAACCATGAAATGAGCAGAGGGCTGCACCAGCGTGAATGACAGCCTGTGCTAGGGGACATCTATTGGACAATCTTATGACCTTGGACTTATTTTAAGAATTCTATTTAGAAGTAAGTTCAAAAATGTTACCCTCATTGCAAACATCGTGCCCATGACTCTCCCTCTGTGCGGCTCTGAGGAGGAGGATAAGTAATGAGGTCATTTTCGTATTGGAATTTGAGTTACATAGTTGTTACCAGTTTGTCTGATGTTTTGGAAGAAACATAAATGTGAAAATTTCCTTCCCCTTTCCTCCAGCTCTTGAACTCCATAAGGGATAAAAAATAAAATGGGATGTGTTACATATGCGGACCAACTCCAGGCAAGGGATGTAAACATGTACTGCAAACACATACAAAAAAGGAAAGGGACCTAGGGTTGGGGGAGGGAGGGAAGGGAAAGGAGACGGAAAGGAATTGAGAGGTACTATATACATGTACCAACCTCTCACAAGGAATGTGAACACTATGTATTACACATATGCACTAATAAACTAAACTTAAATACCAAAAATAAGCATGAAACCCAGCTACATAGAAACATGAAACATAAAGCCCTGACAAATGCTATTTTTTATTTTAGTTTCTCATCTGTAGAATGAGAATAGCTGGGTGTGGACATAGGAACCTATAAATCCAGAAATCTGGAGGCTGAGGTAGGGCGATCACCACAAGGTCATATGATCAACCTGGGCTACACAGAGAATTCAAGGTCAGCCTGAACCACACTGAAAGACCCTGTCTCAAACAAACAAATGAATTAGTACATAAAACATAAAAATAGAATGGGGACAGACCCATACTGGTAGGATAATAACGTTTCCTAGTCTCCTGGGATGGTCCCAGTTTATACCTTTGTCTTCAGAATAAGCATTGAATATGATGACTTTCAAGTTCAAAACAGTATTTCCCTTTGGACTAAAAGTCAGATGGGCTGTTGTTCCAGGTAATTACATCAGAATGTTTCCTAGACATAGTAAGTGTTCGATATATGGTAGAGTATATTCTATACATTATCTTTATCACTTCCAGCATTTTTGCAATCATTGAAGGACCAGCACATTAGGTCACTTCCTGCCTACACAGGAAGTAGGAAAAATATCTCAGACAGGTGGCTTCTGCCCTCTGGCCACTAGGAGTTTGTTCCACAAGGTTGTGCTATGTTCCGGGTAGTCTCATACACCAAGTTCCTTGCTGCTGATCTTGTCCTGAGCTGATATCCAACCCACTTTCCCCACGCCCCACTCCTAGGTCATTAGCGTGCACTAGGTCATAGCCCAGCCAGGCACAAACAAACCAAAATTATTTATATACCTACCTTTTGAGGTGTCCTGTTTGGTCTGTACATTAATAAAGAACAGCATTGGTTTGCTCAATATAGTTTCCCTGTAGTCTTTATAATCACAATAGTCGGTCAGTTCCACATATCTATGAAAAAGCAAATTGCAAATGTAAGGTAATGTCCCAGGAAGCGGATATATGTACATGCATCTGCCACTTTAAGGGGAGTTCTCTAAGTGTATCTTTGCACAGGTCACCATACTTTGATATCATATAAGTGAATCTCCTTTCTTTGCATGCATGCGAAGGGTGCCATGGCCTTGGCTTTGTGTTAATGTCTGGCTCTCAAAATGAGCTAGAAGAATTCACTCAAAGCTATAGGGGTTTTAAGTCTGTTTAGATCAAGAATGAATTACTCTTAGTAAGGAGAATTAGCTGGGTCTTCTCCAGTGGATTCATCCTATCTAACTGAGATGTCTGGAATTTTCTTTTCCTTCTCTTCCCGCTCTCCCAAGATAAACCCACACTCCTCCAGAGATAGCACAGTCAGCCAATATTTGTATAAAGTACTACTAATTCCATTTCCTCAATCCTGAGCATGTGTGATTTAAATAAATAAAATTATTGTTGGACTTTTGCCCATATTCTCATTAAATTTAGCTTCCTTGATTTTGGTTCATTATTCTTGGCTAGAAAGATTTTTCTCAATCTTGAGTCTGTCATCTAGCATGTTAGCTTTCTGTTTCCTACAAATCTTTCAAACAGATTTCTGTCTCTACCTATGTCGCTAATAAAAAGGATCCAAGGGAAAATTAGCTTCCATCAAGGAGATGGCTAATTTCCTAATTACACTAAGCTCAGACGCTGGGCAGATGGAGGAAGGTTGAATGGCATGCAGTGGGATGAAGGATGTCTCCTTAAACATGGAACTGGTCCCCCACTCACACAGCTGTAAGCACCTGCATAAGAGAAAGCTACCTGAGCTGTCAGCGTGACCTGCCTTTTGCGACAGTGCAGTGTTATGGTATGCAGCATATGAGCATAGCCGGCTCCAGGCATTTCTTTCCAGCTGCTTGACCTCCCAGCTCCTGATATGAAGATCACAGCATTGCGAAGAAAAGGGCTGCCCCAGGGAGCTGTGGCCACGCAGCCAGCTTGGCATCCCTCCCTGTGCCCACTTCCCGCAACCCCTCAGAGGATCCAGGGTAGGAGAACATCTCCCCTCAAGCAGAAAAACACAGCCTCTGCTTTGCTGTCATCCAGGCTGGTTTCTTAGAAATCTATGTCATTATCTTCTTGCTGGATTGTCAGACCTATTTGAGACCTTTTAAAAAGTGATCCTCGAAGAGCCTCTGAAACATTTCTTGCCTTCCGTTTCATGAGGCTTAAAAACAGTCTTGCATCCCAAGCCATCTGCCTGGGAGGTAGTTTGAGGGCTTGTTCCAGGGTGGCAGTGGGAAAATGCTGGAGTGTTCAGGATCTGGGAAAGGGGGCAGGTGTCTGATGCCCTGGGGAGTGGGTGAGGAGGGTGGTGGAGGAGAAAGAGTAAGAGGCGGGCTCTGGGGCGGAATAAGGGAACCAACGGGGTAAGCAGGTAGACCCTGAGCTTTGTGTGGTTCTTTCTTTGCTCCTCTGTCTTCAGCTGGGCAGAATGTGAGAAAAGGGTGAGTCGCAGCACCTAAAACCCTGAAGGGGTGCACCTGGCTTTTCTGTCGGTGGGGAGAAAATTTCCCTGTCCTTCTTTGTTCTAAGCAACCAACTGCCAATAGGTACTGGAGAAAAGAAGCAAAAGAGGAGGAGGAAAAAGGGAAACCACTGTTAATGGGTTCATTTGTTCACATTCATTTGTTCACTCCACAACATTTGTTAAGCCTTCGTGATGTACTGAGCACTGAGAAAGCAACACAGGTATGGCTCAGAACCTGGAAATGGGGCAGGAAGTGTGCTGGGAACCTCCTATATTCTTCTGTGTCCCCCACTCTGCCATCTCTTTACTCAGTTGTCAGTGATGAGCCCAGGGCTAATATAAGAAGACAGGTGTGTGTAACTGGGTGGCAGCCAGATTCCACCCGCGATCCACCCCAGGCTTCACATCCTCCCACCACCTTTCTCATCAGGGACTTAAGTGAAGGTCGAGGTTGATCTGAGGATACAAATACTGTTCTCACATATTGATTAGGGATCACACCTGGCCCCCAACTTCCCGTGTTCACCGAGTTTAGCACTTTTACTTTATACCTAAGGAGATTCCTCTATTCTTTCAAAACCTGTAGTCACATAGTTGGTCTCCTGAGTGAGCACATGATGTTTGTGCACAATATACCCAGAAAATATGCATTTTTACCACTTTTCTAATGATCTAAATGTCAGTGAACTATTTCCCTCTGCTCAAAGAATCAATTGACATTGGTTGGAGACAAAATTTTAGCATCACTAGACTTTCTTCCAGTGAATCCACACCTTAAAGAAAAAAGATAAAAACCTCAATTTAGAAATGATCAAAGGTTGGGAGAATAATCATCAGAATTCTGTGGAAAGCTTTTTTGAGTGCTATAGGGCGCAAGAGCAGTTGTTTGGCATAGAGAAGGGGACCCTCTAGTCACAGATGGAGTTTAATGTACAACCTGTGTATGAATAGTACATTTGGAGTCTGAATTTAATAAAAAGCCTGGAGGCATGACAGAATTTAATCTGCCTTTGATGATTTGGAGACCTAAATGGGCTCTAAACATTGTGGTAGAGCATGTCCATTATCATTGTGGGACAGATGTGTGAAGATACAGCTTATCCAAGAGCTCTGATACCAGAACTTAACAGGACATAAATAAGAACTACAGTACTACCTCTTTATTTGCCCAGGATACACTCCAGGAACCCTAGAGGGTTCTTGAAAACTCAGGTAGTAAGAGATCTTATATGTAAGTACTGTGATATCTCAATCCAGAAGGCTATTATCTGATTAATGGATGGATACCATATATACATATATATATATATTCAGAGGACAGAGGGGTAATTCATTTGCTGGGTGTGGGAAGCAATTAGGCAGTGAATATTTCATCATGCAACAGAATAGTACAAAAATTAAAGCATATGCGTGGTTTATTTCTAGAAATTTCCAAATAATATTTTCTCACCACAGTTGACCACAAGTCAAGAAAGGCTAAAGCAAGAATAAGGAGAAAGTATTAGAGCCTTTAATTCCTCCATGTCCAATCTCCCAGTTATGGTCTAATTATTAAAAACCCTGATGTTCTAATCAAATAAGCAAACAGGAGTGCTTCCTTAAAATTCACTCATAAAATTTGGAGTCATAAATTCCTTAAAACACAAAAAGATAAGAGGATCTAGTGGTTAAGACCTGAAGATATTTAAGTATCTGACATTTAATCACTGGTTTTAAGATGAATTTTGCTAGAATACCTTAGGGACTATTTTATCTTTAATCATGAATATTTCTGAATTATTAATGCATATATTGCTCTCACATATCGAATATTTATTATATTTGCTGAAGTTATCAGGGATGAAAAGCAAACACTTAAGACAGACTGTTCCTTTAAACTCATGGCTTTTGCCCTGGCCCCAAAATACTGCTAGGCTGAAACATTCTAAACCTGGCTTCAATACAGAAAGACAGGAAGGCAGGACATGTCAGGGGAGACCCCAGGTTTCAAGATAAAATCTAATCCATGTCCTAATCCACTGGCTCTGTGAGCTTCCTTTGAAAGCCACAGCTTACTGTAACCTGAAAAGAGTTATGTAACCTACCTATCTGCACTCGTCTGTCAAAGGGGTTTTATGACAGCATTTCCTCAAGTGTGATGCCTAAGTTCAGTATGTATAAGTGCACATACTCGGGCCCACAAGGGATGCTCGGCAGACACCGTGATTCTCTGTAACCAGGACTCTCAACCAGGAATGTATCCATTTGAATTACCAGGAAACCAGGACAAGATACATGCCAGAAGGACAAATGAGCAAGAGTTTCTCATTCTCTGTTTCAACTTCTTGCCTCATTTGCTTCATTTGGGAAGGCTAACAGGAGCAGCTTACAGAGCCAACGTCCGAGAGATGAGACCCAGAGAGAGCGCTGCGCTTTCCTTTCTAGTGAATCAGGAATGGCCAGAAGTTACACCACCCTCTAAGGTACCACCTTCAGAGACTCTTCTACACCCTCCAGGACAATCTGGAGAGCTGCCCCAGATTTCTCTCGGCTCCAGTGATCTAGTGCTCCATGGCAAAGAGGAATTCAAACCATGGTCTCCACCCAAGAGTTCGGTATGTGTACGTGCATTGAATTTTTAAAGAAATGCATAAAGAAAATACTATATTACCCCATTAATATATAAAACACGATTAGTCATCAATTAAAAATAAAGGTAGAAATAAAACCGTGACAAGCAAAAGAAAGTAAAAATAGGATCTCAGATATTTGCATATTCATGTTCATAGTAACATTCACAATAGCTAAAAGGTGTAAGCAGCACAAGTGTCTATTCACAGTGACGGGATAGATAAAGTACATTATATACCTGCATTTAGAATGTTATTCAGGCTTAGAAAAGAAGGAGATGCAGAGGCATGATACCACATGAATGAACCTTGATTGAAGGCATTACACTCAGTAAAATAAGCCAAGCACAAAAAGGCAACAATTATATAATTTTACTTGCAGTTGCTATGTGAAATAATCAAATTCAGAGTGGCAGAAATTAGAAGAGTGGTTCCCAGTGGCTGAAGGGGAGAAAGTGTAGGAAGTTATAGTTTAATGTATCCTGAGTTTCAGTCTGGGAAGATGAAAAAGTTTTGGAGGTTGGTGGTGGTGACGGCCACTCAGCAGTGTGAAACTATTGAAGTCACTGAACTGTACACTTAAAAGTGGTTAAGACAGCAAATTTCATTTGATGTGCATTTTATCACAATTAAAATGAAAGTAAAATAACAAGAAAAAGCATAGAAAATGGGGCAGAAAAAAGAGGCACTCACATTGCATGGTCTTGGTGAGGGAGTCCTAGAAACATGCTTGTGGCTCTCACAATCCTTGGCTGTGATGCTAAGCAAACGTTTCCACAAGGATTCGCACCCCTGGGAGCAAGCATGGTTCCCTGCTATGCTGATAGCATTTGCTCTATGGCCTTATGCAC